CAGAAAAGCACCGTGACGTGATTTTGAGTTCATAGGAAATTGAGTTCCTTCAATTTTAACTCAAATCTTATCATTAATAAATAATGCTACTTATTTTTTTTTTAATATAACATCTAATGAAATCATATTCGAGCATTGTCGGGTCTAATTAGAAGTAGTTCTTCTAAAAAAAGTTCTCTGTATTCACATGAAGTCAAATTCAAGATCTCGTACTTAAATAGTCACAACCTTTTTTCACTATCACCAAGGATTGGTCAAGGAAATCTATTTTAGCTATAATCAAAAAGCATGAAAAAGGGTTTATGAGAAACTGACCAAGATTGTCACCAACAGTGAAGGTTTGTCCAGAAGCCCAAGAGTCATAGTTCCCACCAAGAGTCCATCCAGAGCTGCCACCAACAGTATGGTCTGTTCCAAACACAGAAGGAACAGCCAGAAGCAGAACCATCAAAGAACAAGCAGCCATTAATGTAACCCTAGCCATCTCCTTTCTTTCTTTCTTTCTTCTTCTTCTTCTTCTAGTAGAATCACAAAGAGGAAAACAAAAGCTCAGTTGATTGCTATAAGCAAGAAGACAGCTTGAGGATGAGGGTGAGGGGATTGAGGATGATGAAGAAGATATGTGTTGGCTTGGTGGAGAAAAGAAGGGCTATATATAAATGAATTGAGCCACCTACTCCCCTTTATGAGTGTTGTTTAATCTTTTGTGCCACTAACTTTGTTAAAATTGAATAAATTATTGGGAATAATAAATAATAATAATAAAGTAATGAGTAGTTATAATTGACGTAGTGGTAGTCCAGTTGTCATGTCCCTACCTAATGCGTTGTGATGGATCGTTGCCTTATTTGACTTGAAAGTCTATTAGATATCATGGGGATAAAACAAAAATGAAAAAAGCAAGGCTGATATAGAATATTCTAGAACAAGATAATTATTAAAGATGATTTATTAATTACGTAAATAATATGCGTTCTCAAGTTGACTAACTTTGATGCTATTGGCCGCCATGCCCTTCTTTTCTGGCCTCCCTTGGCTGCTCCCAATTGTGTGAATGTGATCACAAATATATTCTTTTGGTGATAAATTATTAGGTTCTCTTAGAAAAAATCCTTACGGTGGCTAAATAAGTCACAGAATATTTAAAGGTGATGAATGGATCATTAAGTTTTTTAGATACTAAATACATTTACAAAATATTTCAGGTGTTGGATGATCATTTACCTTGAGTTATTATGTAACATCAAGTATTTATTAAATCCTAAGTTTGGATGGTTAAAATTTAAAAAAAAAAATACTTTCTAGGAGAAACAATAATAAAAACGTTTATTTTATGTTTGTGTTCCATATGTATCATTATTTAATCATAAACTTACATGAAAAAAAAATGGACACTGATAAAGTCTGATTGAGAAATAATATAATATTATAAAAAATTTGACCTAAATATTTCGCAATTACGTGGAGTGATTTTCAATTACTTCTCACATCTCTTCATTGTATTTATTAACTACTCATGCTTTTTTAAATTAAGCTTAAGTTTCTGCTAAAATTCTCAATCATCCAAGTCATCTTCTCTAGGATTAACTATATTATAGTGTTATTGACTAATCTACTTGGACTCGTATAATTTTTATTGATGTGAGACTCTTCTAACGCAATGTTCCTCATCGATTAGGGTTGAATTTGAACAAAACTTTCTTATGAATACGTTATAACGAAATGTGTTTGTTGGGGGGCGTGTGTTTATATTCTTTGGACCCACAAAAGTTGTGTGAAAGGCTCCAAGTTTGAATTTATGTGATGATTCTTTCTAGAGCATATATAGGCAATAACTAACACATTGTACATAGAGTCCACACTATAAAGACACAAATGAAAATGATATATATCTTACTACAAGTTCTTCTCAATTCGACTACGTAATTGAGATCTTGATTATTATTTCTTCAAGTCTTAAGCATATAGTTAAAAAAGAATTGAGTTTTAATTTAGGAGAACTGTGATAAAGGACGAAGGAGATGAAGAGATAGATGAAAGCATAGAAGAGAGTGAGAGATAGAGAGACTACGCATAAAAGAAAAGGAAACAAGAAAGAAGGGTGAGACTAAAAAAAGACCAAAAAACAAAAAAACAAAATTTCATTTATCAAAAAGCGTTTTTAAAAAATAAATGAATTGAGGGCTATTTGCAGTCTCAACCTATTTATAGAAATTAATAACAAAATATTCTAGAATCTTGGAAATTAAACACAAATAATAATTAATGATAAAAAACAACAAGTTAAAATTAAAATCAAATATTTCTTAATAATATTAAATATTTAAAATATCTAAAAATTCTAGTGTGTTCTCAAATTATAGTTAAGCCAATGTTATTTTTATAACAAAATCATAATGTCATGGAACCTAATCAGAATCAAAATATGGTAATTATTTTATCAACATATATATATGTGCTTATTATCTAAGAAAGTTGGAATTCAAAACCTCAATTAAGAAATGTGAAATCCCTTATTCCTCAATCAAACCATCGCGATGAGAAGAAAATAATGTGTTTAATAAAGGTTGAAGAACTTAATTACTTAATCTCGCCAATATTTTTTTCTAAAAAAAACAGCTTTTCTTTTTTTTTTTTTTAAAATTATTTGCGTGTTCCTTTTATTGTGAAAGATTCCGAATTTTCCCTGGAGCGAAGGATGCGATGCGAATTATGGATACTTGGATAGATATTTGTATGGACGCATGGGCGCCGTGCCAGTCAGACCGTTGTGGTCAAAAAGGGGTCAGTTTGGGTGTGCTACAGGAAGCTGCACAGGAGAAATATAGTATATAACTGTCATATATAATATTATATATATAATTTGGTTTTAAAAAAAAATCTCCAAGGCTGCTTTTGCTATTACCTTTCTTATCATAATGTTCATATGGGTGAAATTGCAATTTTCTAATCTTTTTTTGCATCTCTTATCTAAGTTTCTTGTTGTGTTGAGTTACTCAAGTTCTCCAAATATTCTTTACATTTTTTAATTATATTAACTGCATCACATGCAAAAAGAGTTCGTTAATGGTTTTTTTTTTTTTTTGCTGATTTGGATTTTAATAGCACTTTGATATCGATACATTGCTTAAATTTTTTTTAGTTACTCCCTTTATAAAATTGATATTTTCTTAATTCCTTCTTCCTAACATCTATTACAACAACCTCACTTGTATAATTGTTTAATTGTTTATAATTGATTTTTTAAAAAAAACATAAAAAGTAGTCCATTAGAATAACTTGACCTAAATATTTTTCTTTTTAAACGTCATTTTTTTTGAGATATATGATTAAAACAGTTATAAACATATCAATACTACTCCGGTCCTTAATATAAGACTATATTTGAATTTTATTTTGATCATAAATATAAGATCCTAATCCACTTTGTCTCCTATATTTATGTATTTTTTTGTGTTAAAGTAGTCCTTCTAATAATGATAGTTTTAGTCAATAAGTTTGATTAGCAAGGATATTTTATAAAAGACAATACATATTTATTACAAATAACTAACTTAATTTCTTTTCTTAATCTCCCCAAATTAGTCAACTAGCTCTTATAATTAGAACCGGAGGTAGTATTAAGTTTCGAGAAAATTATTTTTATTAATAACAACCATACTTTTTTTTTTAATACAAACCACCATACATATTTTTGGTGCAAAATTGGGCTCATCCACAAAACTAAGGACAAGGAACCAACCAGGTGACATACAATTTAGGGTCCGTTTGGTTGGGCTTCTAAAGAGTTTTAAGTAGCTTAAAATCAGCATAAGCTCGATTGGTGTTAAGATGCTGTTTGGTTGGGCTTAAAAAAAAAAGTAGCTTATACAATTTAAGCTACTGAACGCACGTTCTGGCCCAAGCAGTGACCGAGAGGCTGGTCGTTATCATCCGCGAGTCCACCCTGTCGGAGCTGCTATCGTCGTCCCAACCAGTCGCCGCCGTCAGCTGGTCCATCTCAGGTGTGCGTCGAAGATCTTAGCTTGGTCTGATTTGAGCTGTGTTTCAGTGATCAGCGTTGGCCGATCTACCTCTGCCTAACTTCATTGGTCTAATTTGTGCGAGGTTGGCCGATTCCCATATGTTTGTGTTGGTTTTCGGTGAATGTGGAGTGATACGCTATTAATCAAAGCATGTAGAGTTGTGTGTTTGTTGATCTATTGTGAGCTGATAGATAGACTGAAATCGAACCACCGTGCTGTCTGAATGTTTTCTTCTTGGCCTGGTTTTGTGCTGTGTTTCAGTGATCAGTGAATTTTGTGATGAATGCTTGACGTTTGTTGATTTTTAGATCTGAGTTTTGGGCCAAACCTGGCATAGATCCTAATTGCTCGCTATAAACGAGTGTTGTAGGAGACAGGAGGAATAAGCCATATATTCTTCCAAAAGAAATCTGAGTCCCAAATTACATTCGATGTCAATTAATGTTGTCAAATGGTCCACTTCTTATTAGTTTATGATAAGTTTTCTTCTAATTTACACATCAATAAAACATTTTTAACCAATTCAAGTAATTTGACCTAAGTATTCTCTTTTTATTTTTGCCTTCAATTATTATCCATCATCTTCTTATTAATTGGATTGTCAAGGGTGAAGGATATTTTAGGGAAAAATTATTGATTACTCTTATACGTTTATAAATTCTTTTTTTGAAAAAATTTTTACCCTCAATTCTGTGGGACAGGTTTTTAAGAAAATTGTTAAGTACTCTTATGAATTTATAAATTGTTTTGCATGACACTTTCGCATATATACACCCACACACACACTTTTTTGGGGGAGGAGCAGAGGGAGTGAGCATGAGCCGATTGGAATCCAAAAATTAGGAGATAAGACAAGCCATTTATTGAGCAAGTAAAACAAGTCGTTTATTTCTTACATAATGTAGCTTGAATTTGAACATTTTTTGTGCTTTGTTTGCTTCTGTTAGTCTTATCTATATTATTTTCCACCTAGAAATGGATAACGATAAAGAAAAAGTGAGTTGGGATTCGTATACAACGAAAATCCTAATCGATGTTTGTGTTGAGCAAATTGTGCACAAGGAACGCCAAGGAACATCATTTACGAGGCCGGGTTGGAACAAAATTACAAAGAATTTTCAGAAAAGGAGTGGGAAAATGTATGACAGGAAGCAACTTAAGAATAGATTTGACATTTTGAGAAAGGATTGGAAGTTGTGGGAGAAACTTATGTCTGGGAGATTGGCATTGGTTATGATGCAGCGACAAATAGGGTGTTGGCCTCCGATGAGTGGTGGCAACGGAAATTAATGGTAACTATTTGTGTTGGTTGAGTTTTAATTTTAAATATCAATTTCGTCATCGCTGACACTTGCTTAATTACGTTAATGTAGGTGGATCCCAATTTCGAGAAATTTAGACATCAGGGGTTGATGTTTGCATCAGACCTAATGAAGATATTCAAAGATGTTGTGGCTTCGGGAGACTTTATGTATGCACCATCAGCCTCACAACCTCAGCCAGCATTCACTCCACAGCCTGACACAGAAGAGGAGGATGTTTATAGAGTCGGGCTCGACCAACAGGAAGGGTCGGGGGACAGTGAGGATGAAAATTTCGGTGTTGACCCAACAGCCACCGCAGGGATCTCAGATGATTTTGCCAGTTGCAACTTAAACAACCGTTCGAGTACTGGACCAAGTGACTCAGGAAGCTATGGAAAGAGGAAGAGGGGTGAGACGTCTGATGCGAAGAAGAAGAAAAAAGTTGCTGCGACTACAAAAATTTCTGATAGCCTGAGTGTTATAGCAGCTGCTTCTGAAAAGTGAGCATCAGCATTGGTTGAAGATCCCCAACAAGTTGAGAAGATTTGGGGACACCTGGCTTGCCTTGAGGAGCTTAATGGTAACCCTCAACTATATTATGCATGTGCGAAGATGCTTACGCGGTTGAGGTGGGCTAGGCGAGCCTATTTGGGGTTTATGCATGATAGAAGCAAGTTATTGGAGTGGTTGATACCGGTAGCACTAGACCCAGACACATGGAAGGGACCTGTAGATTAGGATTTAGTTTAGGACTTTGTTGTTTCACTGTTTTACTGTACTGCACTTGTTAACTTGAACTAATTGCTGTTTGAACCTAAACTTATGTGACCTGTTGTAAAAATCTTAGTAATGACTGTAATATTTATGCTAATTTCTACTTATCATATATGTGTTTAGTTTTTCTGTTTGCAGTATGATAATTATTTACACCTTCTTTAGGGTAATCCTTATAATGCTTACACTTTGTTGTCATCATAGTTACAGGGTTAACTCCAAAAATGGCTTCTTGGAATAATGATTCACCATTGAATGAAGATACTTTGAAGGATTGGAATGATGATTCTCAGTGGAATGAAGATGACCGTTCAAGACAGATTAATGAGGAATTAACACAATATGAAGCAGTAGGTGCATTGGTTGGTCATTACTGTGAAATGTATATGTTTAAACAACCCTGCAGAACTAGTGAGCAAACAGGAAATTTATGGGTGCAAGGCATTATGAATGGCCATGATGATCGATGTCCTGAAATGTTTTAGAGGGGATAAACATGTTTTCCACCTCTTATGTACCAAATTGGAGGAACACGGTTTACGAAAGTCAAACTTATGTGACCTGTTGTAAAATCTTAGTAATGACTGTAATATTTATGCTAATTTCTACTTATCATATATGTGTTTAGTTTTTCTGTTTGCAGTATGATAATTATTTACACCTTCTTTAGGGTAATCCTATATGCTTACACTTTGTTGTCATCATAGTTACAGGGTTAACTCCAGAAATGGCTTCTTGGAATAATGATTCACCATTGAATGAAGATACTTTGAAGGATTGGATGATGATTCTCAGTGGAATGAGAGATGACCGTTCAAGACAGATTAATGAGGAATTAACACAATATGAAGCAGTAGGTGCATTGGTTGGTCATTACTGTGAAATGTATATGTTTAAACAACCCTGCAGAACTAGTGAGCAAACAGGAAATTTATGGGTGCAAGGCATTATGAATGGCCATGATGATCGATGTCCTGAAATGTTTAGAGGGATAAACATGTTTTCCACCTCTTATGTACCAAATTGGAGGAACACGGTTTACGAAAGTCTAAATACGTAGGAATTGAAGAAATGGTCGCGATGTTTTTAAACACGGTTGCACATGGACAATGCAATAGGATTCCAGGAACGGTTTCAACGTTCAGGGGAAACTGTAAGTAGGCACTTTCATAATGTACTGTAAGCTTGCCTTAGCCTATCGATTGAACTTATTCGACCCATATCCTCCTACATTTCGTGGAACTCATAGAAAAATTGAGACCGATCCACGTTATTACCATTTTTCAAGGACGCAATCGGAGCAATTGATGGCACTCATATTCAGTGTGTTGTCCCTGCTGCAAAAAGAGACAAATTTATTGGCAAAAAGGAAATCCATCACAAAATGTTATGGCTATATGTGATTGGGATATGTGTTTCACTTTTGTCTTGGCAGGATGGGAGGGATCTGCACATGATGCTCGTATATTTGACAGTGCTATTACAAATTCATCTCTTAATTTCCCTCATCCACCTCCAGGTATATGTTTATAAGTTTCAATCACGCATGTTTTTTTTAATTATTTCATTTTTTTTCTTTTGACAATCTCTCTAATTGTTTCATGAATCATTAGAGAAATATTACTTGGTTGATGCGGGATATCCAATTTAGGACCAAAACCAACTCAAGAATTGGGTCCTATATTAAGGACCGGAGGAGTATTATTTTATTTTACTTTGTCAATTGGAGTTCAAAACTTTGTTATCCATTTAAATTATGTTTAGTTGACTTCTTCGTATTAAATTAATTTAAATTTATTGTATTATGTTAATTTTTTTTATCATGTTGCACTTCGTTTCTTAAATATTTTTTATGATTTCTCTACGGTTCGTAATTCTAATTCACTAAATAAATTTTACTTCATTATTATATTATCTCTATTCAATTTTTTCCTTCTTTCACTTTATATTTAAAATAATTTTGATTTCTCTAATTTTAAAATTTAATTCACTTATTCGTATTGAATTATTTTAATTCCATTGTATTATGTGAAATTATTTTTTTCCTATTTTTTACTATTTATTAAAACTCATATCCATTTTGGTCATTTTACAACCAAACTTACTTTTACTCAACCATAATCCAAACAACTTTTTACCAATCTCACTTTTGCAAATGGACTTTTCTGAACTCCAATCCAAACACAATTCAGCTTATCTAATTTAGCTTTTATCCCACTTCACTTATCCATAAGCAGTTTTTCCAATAAGCAGCTTTTCCAATCGCTCATCCAAACGGGCACCTAATCACCTGTCAATCACACAATGCCATTTGGGTAACCTTGGTGTGCCTAGGTTATTGGTTGGGATAGAGCAATAGTTATGTGGGAATCACCTCCAATTTCCATGCTTTACCAAACTCTTCGATGATCTTAAGAATCGAATTCGCTCCTTTTGATGAGCTTGTCTAACCCTCAATTGCTGGACCCATACACTTTGTATCTTTTCATGTAAACCAAATGGTGCCGGTAAAATCAACTGGAATGGTAACTTGCAACCGATGACTAATTAACAACCTATCAATAACAGTCCGCATGACATTTTTTTTTTTTTTGGTTTTCCGGTTACATCAGCATGACATTTCTATTAGAAGGGCTATAAAGGAGGCCCACTAAGAAAATGCTTGCCAGACCAAAATATTAAATCCTCTACCAGAGGGAGAGGGAACCTTGGACTTACAGCTGCAAACTACAAACAAAAGAAAGCCCACAAAGAGAGTGTTGGTTTGTGACCCCTGGTACACTTGTACATTGCCGAAAATAAAGCGAAAGTGCAAAACCCCAAAAAAAAAAAAAATATTGTGTCGCGTATAAGTAGTTGGCTCACATGCTAAACCCATGGCATCAAACAAGAATGCTCACAATAACTTTTATATTATTTTCCTCTTATACTTAATATAAGAACTAATTATTAAGTTGATATTAGTCCTAAATATAAGATATATTTTTCATATTTATCATTTTTTTAAATTACTTCTATTGATGCTTTTCAATTATAATTAAGTAGATGAAGGATAGAAGATATTAAGAAAGATGATTATGGTGTTTTAAGAAATTCATGTCATATTTTTTATAATTAACTAATTTATCTAACTTTTTAATCTAATTAAATTAATTAAATAGGTTTTACATTAATAATTAGAGAAGTAAGTTGTATTATCTACAATATAATTTCTATGTGGAGTGATTCACATATACATGAACACATAGTATGCCTATTACCCTATGTTTAGTAACTGATTTCTTTAATCTAATCAGTTAAATACATCTTACATTAAGTATCAAAAGGGTAAGTTGTATTATGTACACTATAATTTCTATGTGGAGTGATGCACATATACATGAACACATAGTATGCCTATTACCCTATGTTTAGTAACTGATTTCTTTAATCTAATCAGTTAAATACATCTTACATTAAGTATCAAAAGGGTAAGTTGTATTATGTACACTATAATTCTATGTGGAGTGATGCACATATACATGAGCACATAGTATGATGCCGTGTGCCCTATATTTGGTACAAGAAAAATGGAGGGGATAGAAAATTTTAATAGTTTTGATTTGAAAATTTGTAAAAGCGGGTTGTAAAATTTTAATACAGATCATATGTAAAATAAAAGAGTAAGAAAAATTAATTAAAAACTTTTAATCATATTTTTAAAATTTTTAAAATCAAACTCATTAAATTTTTTCCTTCAATTCCTTTCCCTTTCTTTATAGGATCATTATTATTAGATTAAACTTAGGATTTTATTATTAGGATGTGATTTATATTACTCCTCCGGTCCTTAATATAAGACCTAATTATTGAGTTGGTTTTGGTCCTAAATATAAGACCCATTTCTCATATTTATCAATTTTTCTCTAAATTACCCTTATGAATACTCCCTAAACCATAATCAAGTAGAAGAGGAAGAGGGTATTAAAAAAGATGATTATAGTGTTTTAGAAAAAACATGTTACATTTCTTATAATTAATTCACTTACCTAATTTTCTTAATCTAATCAAATTAGTTAAATAGATATTATATTAAAGATAGGATAAGTATTATTTTAGGCTTATTTTGATTTATTGTTATTTTATTATTCTAAGACTCTCATAAGGATCACCATCGTCATAATCAATATTAATTGCTTTCATAAGCAGTACTAGGATTGACAGTAAATTCTGAATATCGAATGAGACGACAGTAACTTTTCTTTCTAGGTTTTCGCTTTTTTGTTTTGTTTTCTTTTTTTTGGGACAAGCGATTAAAGGGGAAACCACCTAACGTGAGCTTTTCTGTTTTCTATTTTCTAGTTTCTACAGTTTCTTCCTTTCTCCCTCTTCCTTACTGTAGTCTTTCTTAGTGTCCTTCTTGGTTTACGTCAATATTTTATAAAAATTATATTACTCCCTTGGTTCTGTTTTTTTTAATAATAAACAACTTCAAAAATTATATGACTTAAAATATAAGTTAAAAACAATAAATATATAATATATATTTCTAATTATACCTTATTTATAAAGAGAGTACACTGGAGATAGTGAGTAAAAATTTATTAAAAAGATAATAAGTGACGTATATTCAATGAGGTAAAATTAAAAATCAGTTTAAACTTTTAGACCAAAAAAATTATTTCTTATGCTTAGAAACCTTGTTATGAGGATTTTTTTTTTTTTAAAGAAAAGGAATGGAGGGAGTATAATATTACATAAAAAATTAAAAGAAAATAAACTACTCAAATTTGGGGCCGGTAAAACTCGCCAAAAATAGCCGGATAGGGTTGGTCAAAAGCCAATCCGTTAGTAAACGAGCTTTTTTAACTTGCATCGTCAGGCTTGCAACTCGCCTGTTGGGCTAACCCACATTTATTTTTTAAAATTTTTTAATTATTATAATTATATTATTATATATTATATCCTATCTAAAAAATTAAAAAAATACTCATATAATTTATTTGGTGCTTTCAATCAAATATTTCAAGAAAAAACAAAAACTTTGTTATTACTTTTAGATATTGTATAAAAAAATATTAAAAAAGTAAAAAAAATTTTATTGAAAAAAATAAGTGTTTGGCGGGCAAATCTACCAACCCGTCTTAGCGGGTTAAGGGTTAGCTCCTTCAAACGAATATTTTCAACCCGATCCATATGAGTTCAATTCGTTACGAGCCAATCCGCAACCCGTAAGTTGGCCCTTATTACCAGCCCTACTTAAATTTGACTGTCACGTTTAGAGGTTATATGCAATAGAAAAAAAATACAACAACAATAATGTCAAAGCCTTATTTTACTAAGTGGAGTTGGCTACATGAATCACACCATGCTATTAGGCTCTATCAAAAACTTCTCACAAAAAAGTAATTTTATAAAATATTAAATCTCAACTATTTATTTTCAATCTAAAGAGGCGAATGGGGTGAGAGGGGAAAAAAGAAGAAAAATAGATAAAAAGAGGATTCAAATTCACTTATTTTATATAAAAACATACTCTCCGGTTTTTAATATAAGAGGTAGTTTGACTTTCAATTTTAGTTCTAAATATAAAATCTCAATACACTTTGTATTTTATATTTATCTATTATTTCTAAAATAACTCTTACAATAGTTGCATATGTTAAAGATTCTATCAAATAGTAATTCTAGCTAATATACATGATTAACAAGAGTATTTTATAAAAGACAATATCTATTTATTACACATAACTAACTTAACAAATTTTTTTAATTTATTTACATTAGGCAACTAGCTGAACCAGGGGTGGGATTATAAGTCTAACTTACAAATGAACTATTCTTATTGGCCTTGAGGGGGAAAAACAACTACTAATCTATATCCATAGGACAAAATATAAATTTTGCCCGAATAATTAAGGCGGGTTCCGACCGTTGTGAGCCCGCGGTAACGGCTGATGTTAAACCCTATCGTCTTATCTCCGTCCTTAATTTCGCATTCCTAGGACAGCACAGTACTGCTATCTGGCGTCCCTCTTCGGAGTCACTGGCCATGGCTATCCTGGCCCTCCCCTTAGTCGTCTCCGTTCTCAAGCCCCACCCTTCTCACCTCATGGTGCTCCGGGCAGGCAAAGTCGCGGCCAACGGGTTATGCTTGCCGCTCTCCCGCCGTCAATTCACCAGTGCCAATGTCTCTGCCGCTGGCGCTGCTTCGATTTCACGGCATTCTTCTACTGAGTTAAAGAGCCAGACTGAGAAAGGTTCTGTGCTTACTTTTCAGCAAGCCATTCAGCGCCTTCAGGTCCTGCAACGAACTTCTGACGATGCTTGTATTGGGAACGGATCCTTTGAATTGATGGTTGAGCCTTTAGTCGCAGCAACGGACGAGATGAAGGCTGGTCACTCAGTTCCATTAAACCGTATCCATTTGGTTCTCAATTTATGGAAATGCAGGTTTTAGTGATCGAACGGATGAGGGGGTTGCGCAAATTCTGGTCCATGGGTTTTAGTTATGGAAATTTTGTTTGAAGTGGGATTGGTTCGGATTTCTCCAGTTCATCCTTATGGGCCTGACCCAATTTATGATCCTTCTGTGCCTCATCTTGTTCGTTGCTGTGACAATCGTCCTAGGTGCTCTATTCTGAGACACTTCAGGCGGATATCATTTTGGAGGATTCCCTTCGCTTTACTGTTATTGCTATATGCAGCGAGTAAAAGGCAAGTTGCAAAACGTCTTTTTTCTTTTTTGACTGGTTGTTACTATTGGGATTGCAGGAATATTGGGCTTCTGTGGGATGTGCCATAATGCAATGCAGCAACACAGAGGTAATGGTCACTGCCTATTTACACCGCCGCACCACACCCCCCCCCCCCCCCAAAAAAAAAAAAGAAAAGATCCTCTTTGAATGGAGAAATGGAGAGAAAGTAGAGACAAAGAGAAAGCTAGGAGATAAAACGGGAAGGTAAATAGATTATTTCCTATTTGGATGTGACGTACAAGAGGACAGAGAAAGAAAAATTGGGGAGAAAAAGAGCATGAGACCTACATGTTTTCTCTCCATTTTAATCCATTTTTTTGGTTACAAAAACGGAGAGATTTTGGAGTGAAACGCCATTTCCAAAGCAACTCCTTCAGCCACTCACTCTCGCTTCATTCTCCTCTGTCTACTCATACTCAACCTTTTCTGCATGGCTTCTTCATGCGGATCCCGGCTTCCTCATGGATCCCCCCCCCCCCCCCCGGCGGGGCGGGGGGGGGGGCCCAAAAAAAAATTCTAGTTTACCTTTTTTTTTATTTTTAATTAGCATCCCAGGACCTGTTTGAACTGAGGAAAACTATGTTTATAGGGGGATTAGAAAACAAATCCTGTATGCTGCAGTTTTGTTTAACTTCACTTGCAACTTTTTTATATAAAATATCATTTAACTTACTTGATTTAACTAAAAAGATACATGGTATAAAGTAATTTGAATTAGCAGTTTTATTTTGTTTTTCTATGGGATTCTTCTCATATTTAAACAGTGCAACTATATATAGGAAACAGTGTTTTGGTATGTTTATTTATTTTGAAAAATAAAAAACACGTTACTGCGCACATAATGCACAATGGGGAGTAAATTATGTGAAGTTTTCTCAATACACTTCATTCAAATCTTATCTCTTATTTTTATTTTTCAAAACATTTATAAAAATGGCCAATGCATAAATCGATGTTAGATATGAAATCTCATTTAACTTGGTATCAATGCAAATTAGTCATTTTTCTTCCCTTGCCTATCCAAAGAAAAGAAGAGATTTCTTTTCACTTCTTTTCTTTTCATCATTTTCTCTCCACTGTATTTTCTTTTCGCCCATTTTCTCCTTATCCAAACAAAGCATTGCTCCCTTTTTTTCTTTTCTCTCTGTTTTTTTTTTTTGGGGATAATTCCTTTGATGGCTTCCCTACCTGATTATTTAGCTTTAATCTCAAGAGATGAAATGTAGTTTTTTATTATTTTTTTGGGGGGGGGGTGTGCTTGATGGCGAGGAGAAGTCCAGGTTCCACAACATTATTCAAGCTAATGAACTTACTAATTCATACTTGGTTTACAATATTTTTCAGGTATTCTTGGAATGTTATAATTTTTTTGGGGGCTCAAATATTTCTTTACATAATTATAAAATTTTGTTTTTATTTGTAATGTAAAGCCTCTTGGTCTGGTCTATTAAGGTGAAAAATATTGTTCTTTCCAATCTTATACTTCATGGGATCAACTCTTGGGTCTGCTTCCCTTGGGGAATGTACATGGGATAACCTATATTGAATCTTCATGGTGCTTTGCAGGCTAGAAAACCACTACTGCATAGTACCACTATTCCTTTTTTTTTTTGGGCGTAAAAAGTACCATTATTCTTTTAACACTCGCATACACTGATTTGCATTTGCTCGTCTTTATTTTTGTTGTTTCATTTCTTATTTTGCTAAAGAGAGCTTCTTGGTTCTATCTGCTCAGGGAACAATTTCTACTCGTGTTGAATGTTGATAGTCTTTGATTCACCCATTATTTTCCTATATTAACCAGGTTGGAGCTGGGACTATGAATCCACTTACATACTTAAGGGTTCTTGGTCCAGAGCCATGGATGTTGCGTAAGTATGATTTTGATGTTTATTTATCAGTGTACATATCAAAATCTTCAAGATTTGGTTCAATAGAAAAAAAGTTGGAACAGTTTTGAAGATGAATGATTTTGTAATTCTTTTGAACCTCCTAGAAAAGTATAGGGCATAGAAGTATGTTTCTTTTCAAGTTTATTTTGATCAAGAATATTCTGTAGCATCTAGCAATTTATTTTATAGTATTACCTTCACATCTAGTATATTTGACTTTTGAATTTGAGGTGCTGTAAAACTTGCTTAAGAAATTATTCATTATTTTTTATTATTTTAATATTTAATAAATAATGACTAATGAATTAATAAATGTTGATTGATCTCTTATAGTGAATTTTCTATTTTTCCTTGGCTTTATATGTTGTGCAATAAAATTATGAAGTAAATTGGCCTCAGAATTGTTTTAAAAATTTTATTCCTCTAAATAATCATATCATATAATAAAGTTTAGGGATGATGAAATTCCCATCAATCAGCCTAAAAGTAAGGGATAATAATAAAACAAAAATAAAATAGAGAATCAACACAATAAATTCATTATAAAAATATTTAGGAAAGGTAAATTTAAAGGCCTAAATAATAGGCCCACTTCTAACGCTCCTTTGCAAGCTGAGAAAGAGATATTTATCACCCCAGCTTTCTGCATAATTCATCAAACTTGATCCTTGGAAGTTCGTTGGTTAAAATGTCACCAACTTGAGAGTTAGATAAAACATATGAGAGCTCAATCAACTTAGATTCAACATTCTCTTTGGTTCTTTCTACTCTCCTATTGGATGTTTCTTAGAAATATTTTGTTTGGATGTTTTAGGAAGGTTTTTTCATTTCAATATTTTGTCATCGTCAATTTTAAAAGATGAGTGAGGAAGACTTCAAGGGTCTTAGAATTGAAGTTTTTGGTAATTTTATTTTCATGTTGGAAGGTACGCTGAACCTAGTATCCGCCCTGATGATAGTCGGTACGGGGAAAACCCAAACAGGCTTCAAAGACACACTCAATTTCAGGTCAAGTTTGATATTTCAATCAACTTCAGAATTAAAGTTGTTTGAATATCTTTCTATTAAAATCTCTGTGTCTGCATGTGCCATTGATATCTGTTACTTTTTGATTGTAGGTAATTCTGAAGCCTGATCCTGGAAATTCTCAGGATCTTTTTATTCACAGCCTATCAGCTATAGGTAGAATGCTCTCAATCTTCTTTGAATTCTTTCTTTAAAGTGCTTTTTAATCATTTGGCTTTACTTTACAAGCATTTCTTTGTGCAGCTAATTGGAAAATGCCATGAAAAGTTGAAAGGAAAACCTTTCAAGGATGTCATGAAATAACATGTGAAAGCTGAATAAGCTTTGGATAGATAATCATGCATGAAATTTTGTTCTTTTACATTGATTTTTAGCTTGATAACCTATTGGTCATTCTTAAGGTTTTTAGTCTTTTTGCATTACTTTATGAGATTTCTTTGCACAGCTAATTGGAAAATGCCATGAAAAGAGAGAACTAATAAGGTTGAGAGGGCTCAAATGGTTTAGGAGAGTGAATGGTTTGCATGTGCTTTGCCAATTGACAGATATCACAGTGATGAAAACCATCAGTTTCATTTAATAAATTTGGAGACAACTTTGACATATAATTGAAACTAGGATGACCTATTTGATAATGCATTAGCATCAGTTCTTTATTTGAAGCTCATGCAGAAAAAACCATCTTCCCTCTTTGTTCATGTTGACCTTCAAGGTTCTGGGAACCCTGATAGAATCTAGTAACATCCATATAAGATACTGGAAATCAATCGAATGATGATGGAAATAAATCTAACCTGATTCCTAAGCCCATACGATTAGGCATATGATATTAGAACAGATAATGTAAGCATCTTAAATGAAATTCTGTGAAGTGGGCCTTAGAATATGGCCCAACATGTCCTCCACCAAATTCCAAGCCCGCAATTCTCTTTTTACACCCCTCACTGCATCCTATCATATGCATCAAGCAATAAGCCTTCTATAAGGTTATAAGGCATACCTCTCTATGGGGCATTTTTCTAATTTTATATCAGTTACTTAAAATTGTGAAAACGAGCAGTATGAGACAATTCCTTCTGTTTGTCTTTTAAATCCCCCAAAATTTCAACTCTCGATCTGAACTTATAGATGGCATGTATCTGTGATAGGTATTGATGTCAGTTCACATGACATACGATTTGTGGAGGACAACTGGGAGAGTCCGGTAATATAATACTGATTTTAATTTTAATGTAACTCATTGAGATGCCAATTTAACTTGCTTCCAAGTTATTTGTATGGTTAATCAATCATCTCTATATTGATATGGTCTTGGATTATATGCCAAATTGAAAATTTATCTAGGTTCTTGGTGCATGGGGTTTGGGCTGGGAAATTTGGATGGATGGGATGGAGATTACTCAATTCACGTACTTCCAGCAGGTGTGTTTTATTTCACTGGAATAATGTTGTACTTTGTGATTTTAGGAACATAAATTTTGTACTTTAGTTTTGTTCTCTAATCATATATTCTTGGGTTTAGGCTCACCGGTTTTTGTTACCTAAAACGTTTTGAATGCTTCTTCCTGTTAATGTTCTTATCTCTCTCTCTCTCTCTCTGTCTATATATATATGTCTTTCCCCAGGCTGGAAGTCTCCAGCTGTCACCTATTTCTGTTGAAATCACTTATGGTCTTGAACGTATCCTCATGTTACTTCAGGTATGCTGGTTTATTTTCTTTTTTAGCATTTAACCCTTTTTACATTTTAAACTACTCAGAGAATGCTTCCTAAATTTTGTGACAGGGGGTTGATCACTTCAAGAAAATTAAATATTCTGATGCGATTACATATGGAGAATTGTTCTTGGAGAGCGAGTACCTCACTTCTCTTACTGCTTGCCATTCAATCATATTTTCTCTTTTATGCTTTTTGGTGAAAGATGATGCCAAGAAGATTTTTCAACTTCTCTCCTTTCTATATTTTGACTTTTGTGTTTGAGCCTTCTCTACTGTAATCTTCTAAGCTTTTGAGAGGTGAATTTTTGGATTGATTGAGTTCCAGTACTGTTTTTACCTTCTGTTTTGTCGGTTATATCAAACCCTAACTACCTACTCCCATAACAACAAATGTGTTATATTTCCAAGCTTAGGGGGTGTTTGGAAGCACTTTTTCGCAAAACGAGACAAACTCCTTCACATATTTACTTTGTATACCATAAAAGTACTTTTAAAACCATAGTTTTGTTTCTATCCAAATACCCCCTTAACTATTTATGTCTGCAGAGAAGTTGTGGTTAGTAAAAAAGGATCATTTATAGCTTCTAAATTGTCATCACAGTATCTTGAAGGATGTGATTTGACTTTGAAATATCCATAATGCATTTTTTCTTTTTTCTTTTTTCCATCTCATTTTTCTGCCACTCATGCACTATCAGACAATTGAGTGGTGATAGTTTCATTTGTGAATACGTGAGTGTTGAAATGTAGCATTGAGATCTCATTTATCAGTGGCACATATTTATATGGGCCTAAATACTTCCAAGTATAATCTTCCTGAGGCTTGTTTTGTGATTGTCACATTTTTGTGCGCGCGCGCGTGTGTAGTTTGGCAATTTTTGGCATCCTCTTCTCAAAATTCTGACCCTCGCATGTTTGTTTTCCTTATCTTGAAACTGCTTTACTCTAAGATGAATAATTTATTTTGTTTACCTTCCATAGGAAGGAAATGAGTGCATATTATTTGGAGCATGCCAGTGTTGATCATGTGCAGAAACATTTTGATTTCTTTGAGGAGGAAGCACGCTCTTTACTTGCTTTAGGCCTTCCAATCCCTGCGTACGTTTGATGGCATTTTAATTTTGTTTTCAAATATCTTCTTAGCCGCTTTTGTTGCCTTTAGCGGATGTGCTATTTTTACCTCCCCGTCTTGTCTTATCTTCTGATGTTTGTTCCACAAAATGCTAGGTATGATCAGCTTCTGAAAACGTCTCATGCGTTTAACATCTTGGACTCAAGAGGCTTTGTTGGGGTAACGGAGCGTGCTCGGTACTTTGGTCGTATGCGTAGGTAATGCTACTTAATTTGTATGGTAACTTTAAAGTGACCGTGTAATTGCTCACTTTTGTTTTAATAGTGACAGTGATTTATAATGTTATGAGCATGGTTACATGTTGTTCTTAGCTGTTATGTCAAATGTGACAATTTTGATGTTCTTGTTCTTTTACTTGTTTTGATTAGGAGTGCTAGGAAATAGGGATAGCTGATGTGAGTGAGAGAAAGAAGTTACATTGAACATTCCCCCCCCCCCCCAAAAAAAAAAGAAAAAGAAAAAGAAAAAGAAAACAGCAACAACAGCAGCAAAGTCTCATCTCGCTAGGTGGATTTGGCTATATAGAACATACGACGTCATTGAACTCTATTCCCCCCCCCCCCACCCAAAAAAAAAACACAAAAAAAAATAATTTCCCTTCTTTTTACTGATCTTTAGCGTTTCCTTATTCTCTGCATGCATTGTTTGCTTCAGTTTAGCTCGTCAATGTGCACAACTTTGGTTGAAGACTAGGGAGTCACTGGGCTACCCACTTGGTTTCATCTCTGAACCTGAAAATTTATCACTGCCAAAAGAAGTTTTGGTGGCTGCAGTTGATAAGGTTAGTTTGCATACCCAAAATATCAATGTTGTTAATATTTATTCATTCATCCCTTTTTCAAAAATGCTGGTTCTTTATAGGATTGTTGATGTTTTCATCCTCCTTTTAAGGTTCTCCTTTTATATAGGCTTGCTAATCTCCAAATGAGAAGGTGCGCTACACAAATACTACTGTTTTACCTGAAAAAAATTATTTGTTTCGCTAAGTATCTCCTTTCTAGAAAGTCAACTTCCTTCCTTTCTTTCTCCCTTGATCTCCAAAGAAGTAGGGGCACCATGCAAATACTGCCATCATACTTGACAAAATTATTTGTTTCCGTCATGGTTTTTCTATCTAGAAGATAAACTTCCTTTACAATCTCTGCATGTTACCAAATAATTTTAGGATTTCAACTGTGGATCTTTTAGAGTATTTATAGCGTAATGTCTTGTAAAGTGATAGCACCAGTTACTGTGGGATAATGGGCGATTTGGGAAAATAGAGAAATATTAGCAATAAACATTTATTTAAACAATTTTAGATATTTTCCATTTTGTTTCGGTTATTTTTCTAAGTTGTTGAGTGGTCCTCAAGTTTAGGAGTAGTGGGTTATGATACTTGCAGATTATGTCAATAATTTTATTTGTTTGTTTTTAGGCAGTTATTCTCATTGTAAGTTGTGGATTAATGGGATAGTCTTAGGAGTATTTTTTGGAGTCATTAGTTATTTTTCTACCTATAAATATTTAAGTTTTACCTCATGTAGAAATCATCTGGAAATAAAATTAGTATTTGTTTCGTGAGTGGAGATTCTCTCGAGGCTTTATTAGTTGAATGAGTTTAAGACTAAAGATATTTTTTTTAATCTTTATTAATTTATGAGGTTAGATCCTGATCTCGTAACTTAATAAAGCCCTTTCTTCCTTACTCTCTTTATCATATCTTGGATCCTCTCATTTGGTATCAGAGCCGTTCGATCCATTATGGGTTCCTTCCATATAAACTCTGCTTCTAAACCTTCATTCTGACCATCTCAGCATGCAATGCCCCATCTGAACATTTTCCCCTCTTATAAACCTTACCAATTGCTTTACATCATAGCCCGCCTTGATATCATTAATTCTAAAATTGCAGCATCCATAGTTCAAGGCCATGCTTACCATACTATGGCCCCTAGCTAGAGAACCACAGCTCGCCAGTTTTATCTGGAAGTCACTGGAAAGAAAATTTATAAACGGGAAGTTGCTACTCCTAAAACAGTGTACAAAGCTATTAGCTTCACATTAGAGCCTTAGACCATAGCCGAGAAGCCCAAATGGATTCTTATAGACCTGTTCATGGAAGTGCATTATGAGGCCTATGATCCCTATGGGTCTAAAGCTGTGAAGTAAGCCATTTGAAATACAACTCTTTTGATGGCTAGTTCCTTCGATTGTGATGCTAAGGAGATGCGACCTTCTCTTCTTCAGATCTCGTATATCCCAGCGAACTCAATCCACTTTCAGCCTCACACATTTCTATTTCAGAGCATGAGTGCCAGCACCGTCATGGTAAAGGTATCTGCTTTTAGTCTGGGACTCCTGTTAGACTTGGGCATTGCTACACATCGCCATTCTCTCTCTTGGAAATTTCAAAAGAGGACGAGGCTACTGTTGTGATGAAGCCAGAAGGTGCTGAAATCTCTTTTAAAGCAATTCTGGGGAAGGCAATCACGGACATGAAACGTAGCTATTGCCTATATTTTGCCTTGAAGACAGGGTGAAATTCCAATGGGGAAGTATTGATAGAGCACCGATTACTGTGGGATACTTTTATAGGCGATTTGGGGAGTTAAAGAAATATTAGGAATAAATCTTTATTTAAATTATTTTAGATATTTTCTATTTTATTTAGGTTATTTTTCTAGTTTGTTGAGTTGTCCTCAAGTTTAGGAGTAGTGGGTTATGATACTTGCAGATTATGTCAATAATTTTGCTTATTTAATTTTAAGTAGTTATTCCCATTATCTGAGTCGTGGGTTAATGGCGTAGTTTTAGGAGCATTTTTTTGGAGCCGTTAGTTATTTTTCTTATATAAATATTTAAGTTTTAACTCCTGTAGAAATCATCTGGAAGTAAAATTTGTATTTGTTTTACAAGTGGAGATTCTCCTAAGGCTTTATTTATTAGTTGAATGAGTTTAAGATCCTTGCTCATCTTCTACTAAAGATTTCTTTTAATCTTTATTAATTTAAGAGGTTAGATCATGATCTCATAACTTAATGAAGCCTTCTCTTCCTTATTCTCTATATCATAGCTTGGATTCTATCATTAAGCTACAAAATCTCTAAATGGGCCATAATTCACGGTTTTCCTCTATTCTTTTTTTTTTTTTTCCGTTTTGTTTTTAAACCAAGGCCTTGCTTGGCAGGTACTGCCCTGCTTAGATGAGTTTATTGATAAGGTTGTGTGATTCTAATCTTTCTTTGGTTTTAGGTGCATGATCAATCAAGAGCATTTGTTATTGAAATTGGAACTGAAGAGATGCCACCTCAAGATGTTGTTGATGCAAGCAAGCAAGTATAACTTATTTTCATCTGAATTATTAGATGGAATTTTTTATCATGTTATTTTTTCTGTTCTGGATTTTTTTTTTAAAAATCTAACTGTTTCTCTCTTTTCTTTCTATGGCTAGGTAAACTTATAATATCCCATTGTTGTTCTTTATTTATTTTGCTGTGCTTGTTATTGTAGCTAAAGGATTTGATGTTGCAATTGCTTGAGAAGCAAAGGTTGGACCATGGCGAAGTGCAAGCGTTTGGTACCCCACGAAGATTAGTGGTATGTATGCCTATTGTGGTTGCTATTGAACCTTGACTTGCCTTTCTAGATCCTATTGTACTCTTATTGATTTAAGGATCAATAATAACTCAGAGGCCCCATTTTTCCCTCCACTTAAATCCTCCAAATCCTACAATTATACAACATAATCATTGTGTTTGAATTAGCAATGGGACAAATCATTTACTTTCGATTATTTTCTTTTAAGTGATGTAATAATCCATCACAAAAGTTCCTATAAGCAAATATGATTTATTCTTCTAAGTTAGATAAATATGATAAGATACGAATATAGGATATAATATCCAAATCTAATCCTAGGATAAGACATAATTAAGGAAATAATAAACAATAAGCATAATATTAGTTAATTCTAAACTAGCGCATCTGAATACTCCCCCTCAAGCTGGATCTCTAGCTTGGATAATTGTGCTTCCCAACACACCTCCTCAAGCTTTGATGACTGCTTTATGGCATAAGGATATGTGAAGCACTTACGGCTCAAATCTGGTTGGGATGCTAACCACAACTCTGAATGTCACTAACATAAATTGGCATGCCACTACAGCTCTGAATGTAATAACATAAATTGGGATGCCACTACAGCTCTGAATGTAACTAACATAAATCTAGAAAAATTTACTTCACAAGGATGCTTCTTTTCATCTAGTGTTTGATAAATCGGGCAATTGCCCAAAATTTGATTTTTAGGAAGAGGCTTGGATGGGAATAATTTGTTCTTCATAATTCTCCCATATGCATTGTCGCGATCATGTATTATAGTAATCGTTCTTCAAATTTCTATCGTTCTTCAAAACTTGATTGATTGAGAAACTTATGAGCTTCTTTCTCGTGCAACTTCTTTGATTTTGTTCTCTTGTCATGACATGTGAATTAGGGATTATGATTTACAACTTCACATTATATTTTATTTCCAATTACTGACTGATACTCCTACATAGAGAAGTATTTCCGGATAAGCATATTTGTAATTGCGGAGCTCCTTCAAATATTGAACAAATCATTTTTTATGATGGTGCTCTCTTCCCTGCACCGAACAAGTGTGTAACATTTGGACTTTGCATCATCTCTAAAGTCGCTTTAAATATCTATTTGTGTACCAATAAAATCTAGATTTTGATTGTTATTTTCTGATCATAGCATAACTACAAGTTGGCACATTCAAGTTTTCTTGTGTATAAATGCCCAAGTATTCATGTTCAGGATTTTATGGACAAATGCTTGAGTTCTTAAAGTTAATGCTTTTTGTAGCAATTTTTGTGATGCTCATGTATAAGTTTTTCAACACTTTTTCATATGTTTCACACTAAAAGTGACAGTTATGTATACCCTGTTATCGAATTCACAGGTCACTGTTGAAAATCTTTGCACCAAACAAGCTGAAAAGGAGGTTGAGGTTCGAGGGCCTCCTGTATCAAAAGCATTTGATGAACAAGGAAATCCAGCAAAGGTCTTTGCTGCGCTTGTTAACCTATACTACTTTTATATTAAATTTGGTTTCAAAAAGGTCGTCCTTTATTTAGGTATTTCATGTCCCAGGCCATTGAAGGGTTTTCTCGTAGATATTCTGTCCCACTGCACTTGATATACAAGAAGGTTGATGGTGAGTCTAGCAGCTAAGCTTTTTGTTGCTTCACTTGTCACACTATGTCTATATCGTATATTATTTGGTTTTGACTGCACTTGCTACTGACAATACCCAAAATAGAAAGGAAGAGAATGCAAACTTGCTATAACAAAAGCACAATGTTTTCACTGTGATTTCCAGATATGGTTTGGTAGAATGCCACTTAAACGTGTTCAGTATAATTAATTATGAATGCATTTTGTTGTAAATATGATGGTTGCGTTGATAGATATAGTATATCATGGGATTGTGGGTGAAAGTAGATGAAGCTGGTGGATCAGTTAGCATATTTTTAGTTGTTAATTTATTTTCTGTTACAAATAATAAAGATATATTATTTGTAAATATCCCAATTAGGTTTTGTTTGTCATTGAGTCAATGCTGGTTAGGATCTAGTTAGTTATTTTCTAATTTATTAATTATTATTTAATATTTAATAAGCATCTATTTTTATTTTTATATTATAAATAAGGCAGTAGAGAGAGTTAAAGTAGATTTTGAGATTCATTGTAATTTCGGGCAATTCTCCTTAGGCTTTTGTATTGGTATGAGTTTAAGATCCTTGCTCATGTTATAATAGACATTTTCTTTTTTGGATAACCCCAAAAGTGCTCTTTCCACAAATCGAGACAAAATCTTCTACATATTTATTTTGTATACCGTAAAAGTATTTTTAAAATCATGGTTTTGTTTCTACCCAAACACTTGTTAGATTCCGATTTCATAGTTCAATGAAGATTTCTCCTTCCTCTTTTTCTCTCTACCTATCTTGGATCCTATCATGTGTGTAGAACATGAGTGATCAACACTTGTGAAGGACAAAGTCAGGGAAAAGATCTCTCTCAGTAAGCTGCTGTTGTTCAGATAAATAATTGTTTCATGGCACTGTATAAGTTTCAAGCTATTTTAATCCATGGTTTAGTTTATTTTTACCTTTAGATTTTATTCATTCATTTTATTTTCTTTGGGGGTTCAATTTTAGCTCCATTAGAAACCTTTACAGGAAGGAGAAGGTGATGGGTAAAATAGTCATGTAAGCTATTCTTGATGGAGGAAGTGAGTTCATTGGGTAGGACGGTGAAGGTGGATTCCAACATTTTTTATCGAACTGGATTCTCTACCAAACAGCCTATTTTCCCAATTCCTCTTCTACTTCCACTTCTACAAAGCCAAGTCCGTGCTACCCACAGGGCATAGTGTGATTAGGCTTCTTGCAATTAGATGAACCCCAAATAATCTTTGTTGGACTTAATATTCTACTCTTGTGTGTATCGTTCTTATCAGACTATTAGGCATCAGTTTTGAACGCCAAAGTAGAGCTCTCCATTGTTTGTGTATCCATCATAGCACTCCATTGTTCTTTATTTTCTAGCACTACAACAATGGTCTCATTCTAGGTTGTATAATTCTTCCCTCCCCAGTATTTCAGATCTCATAGCATCAAACTTAAAAGCCTGCAAGAAATTGAGAAGTCCCTTTTTTTTTTGGCTTCATAGATCTTTTCAGAATAGCTGCATCTTCACTGAACTTCATCTTGATACAATAGTAATTGACCATTTTCTGCCATAAACCTTTCTCCCTACTTGATATTTGACTATAGATCTATGCACCATCCCGTACTTTAGAATTGGCCTATTGTGACAGAACCCCATATCTCCTTAGTCGAGCTTAGGAACATGCACATATCACTGATTTCAAGTGTCATGGAATTCCACCCCTATTACATAATCATAATGTTTTGTTCATCCGAGTCCACAAATTTTGTTTTGCATTTCCTGTACCAAGCATATGACTCAATTTGTCTTTCCCTTTCAGAGAGGTACGCACCAATTGATATCACTTCAACCCATTTTTCTTGTTTAACCCATAGGTGGCATGTATATTCTATAAATCCTCAGTATTATGACTAATTCATAGTAGGTTCAGTCTCATGACTGGGCTAGGTGGGAAAGAGGCTGGCAACGTGCTCTGGACTGACTGTGACAGACAGAAGGTCGCAAATGCCTGCATGTGGGCTTCTTTAAAGAGAAAGATGGGTTAGCTAATGAAGAACAGATTTAAAAAATAATTAAAGAAATACTAGTATTAATTATACTCAATATCTGACTGCACACGAAACGGCAAGTTGTGTTTGTCTACATTGGTAGTTCAAAGCGAGATTTTGTGAAGCAGCATGTTAGTGGTTAGTTTAAAATTATTCAAGATCTTCGCTTGATAGCTCAAACTTTTGAGAGAATCGTTCATTCATGGATCTTGTGTATAATTGTTGAAAGTTTGGGATGAAAAAATTGTATTTCTTCTATTTCTGAAAGGTACATTACATCTGTATCTATACAGTGAGGGAAAGACAGGAGAGTAAAGGCTATTGAAGGGCGCTAATAGATACTACTACCTCCGGTCCTTAATATGAGACCTTGTTTGACTTTTATTTTGGTCCTAAATATAAGACCTCAATCCACTTTGTCTCTCATATTTAGACATTTTTCTCCAAAGTAGTCCTTCTAACAATGGTAATTCTAACTAATATATTTGATTAGCAAGGATATTTTAGAAAAGACAATACCTATTTAAGACAAATAACTAATTCAACTTCCTTTCTTAATCTCCTCAAATTAGTCAACTAGTTCTTATAATTAGGATCGGAGGTAGTAATAAACAACACAATCAGAAAAGAATATTTACAATAAAGGCAAGATATCCCCCCCAATAATGCAACCTTATAATTGGCTACTTTAACTGATGAACTGCTTAGCTGCGTTTATCCTGCTCCAAAATGTAGTCTTGATGCTTATTCTATATGCTGGTATGGGCACATGAGAATTATTTGTCTGGCAAGACTTGTTGCAATATCATTATCAAGCATTTCAGCATACCATATGATAAGGCTACTACCTGGATGGTTCTTCAATATGATTTTTGATATTACAGGAAAAACAGAATATGTTTATGCTCGTGTAAAGGAGTCCTCAAGACATGCCTTGGAGGTTTTCTTCTATGTTTTTGTTGGAATCTAGCTATTGCATTTTCTTATTATCATTTTGGATGCATGATTTATAATCATCTATTTTGACTAATTAGTATTACATTACAAAATGAGCTAGCGTTTGTTGATCAAAATTATAAGCTGGAAATTTATTAAAACTTTATTCTTTTGAAGATTTAAATGGTTCATTCAACCCAAGGTCATTGTTGGAGCATTACATTGTAGTGAAGCACTATCTGATCTAGAGCTTTCTAGAAAGAGACAGCATGAAAACTGACAAAATGTTGAGAGGAAAAAATGTTTCTGATTATTCGTTAACTAGGTTACATGGCTATTTGTACAAGGAGCTTTTACAGGACTAATAAATGCCAGAGAACTAATTTCTAAACCCTAACTGCCAACTACTACCAACATTCACTGCTAATTACATCAGTTATCAGAATCCCTTTTTCTGGAGTACTCTTCAAGTAGCGATGTATTTGATGTATTACTCTCAGATGTGATTCTTTGGGATCATCCATAAATTGACTAAATGCATATGCCATATCAAACCTTGTGTAAGCTAAATAAATCAACTTACCAACAAGCTTTGGGTAGGATTCCTTGTTGATCAGACGATCTTTTGGTATTTCATGAGGCTTTTGATTTGGCTTTGGTGGGGGAGCTTGCTTCCATGCCTCACAAAGCTTGTGATTTTGTTCTGCTGGTGTATACACAGACTTGCAACCAAAGTTCCCTATTTCGGCAATGTGTCAAGAGCACTATTTTGTTGAGATATAAATATACCACGTTTGGAATAGGCAACCTCAATGCCCAAAAATTATTTGGCCCTTCCTAAGTCCTTAATGATGAATTCTTTCATCAACCATGTTCGCAGAGAATCAGAGCCTTCCAAATGATATCTTGTTACTATGATGTCATTAGCATAGACAAGTAAGATTATCACTTCTGGCGTTATTTGTATCACATGCGAACCATAGGTTTTGTAAACCTCCCAAACCATGGCTTGGTGATTGTTTCAAGCCAGAAAGTGCCTTTCTAGGTCTACATATTGTGCCAAGAACCAGTTGAGAGTAAAAACCAGGTGGAACCTCCATATAAACGTTCTCCTTTAAATCACCATGTGAAAATGCATTTTTTACATCAAACTGTAATATTTTCCAATCCTGATTAGTAGCCAAAGATAATAGGATATGGAAGGTATTCATCTTTGCGATTAATGCAAAAGCTTCTTCATAATCTACCCTATAGGTCTAAGCATACCTTTTAGTGACCAATTTAGCTTTATATTGATCTAAAGTGCCATTAGAATTACACTTGGGTGAGAAGACCTATTTGCATCCAATTGGCTTCTTTCCCTTGCATATGCCAAGTGCCAAAGCTCAATACTCAGACTCCGCACTACTTTTGGATGCCACATTTTTTTTTTCTTACTCCTCAATATAACCATGTTTCCCCATAGAAAGGTGAAATATCTTGTGGCTGACCTCATGTCTTCTATTGACCTACCGTAGTCAACTCTTCAGTATATACTTCTAGGTTTTGTGTACTTCTTTTCCTAAGGTGAATGCCTTTACCTTGTGCCGTTTTTAGATTGTTCAATATTTGGCCATCCGCATCTGTTTTTCCTGGGGTTGATTTATGAATTGGCTAGCAACGTTAATGGGGAAGAAAATATTACAATGGGTATGAGACAAATAGATAAGCTTACCAACCAACCAATAATATCCCTTAATGTTAACTAGTGCTCTTATGTAATCAGAGAACATAGGAGTACCTTCAGGTCTTGCTCCTGGTGGACTGTTTTGGACCATAGATGGATTTGTGAAGTTGACATGGCCACCAATTGCCTCAAGTCCAAGGAGAACATTCATATAGATTTCATTTCCTTAATCACCGTTGTATAAGGTGTTTTAACATCGAGTTGGTAAAAGGGCCAAACCAAATTTGCAGGGAGAGGACTATTTTGATTGTGCCGCACTTCACAAGAGCAAATGTCTTTTGGGTTGTCAATCCCCCCTGCTTGAGTTAACCTTTTGGCTACCAATTAATCTTTTTACCTGTTAAGGCTACCATCTGATTGTATTTAACTGGTGAACACCCATTTACACACAATAAATTTTCTTATAGGTAAATCAACTTCCATGTCTTATTTTTCCACAATGCATTTAGTTCTTTATCGATTGCATCTTTAATGGCTTCCTAAAAACTTTGGTATCTTTCCTTTAGCCAATTTAGTTCTTGCATTCTAGGTGATAACTTGTCATATCCAACAAAATTATTAATGGGATGCTTACTTCTATAAATCTTACCTTTCCTCAAGGCTATTGTCAAATCCAACATTAGTTATAGCTTTTGGGTAGTCGTTTGAAAGTTTAAAACTCGTAATCTTGATTAGCATTTGAAAAAGATCAATGTGAATGTCAATAGGAATGTGTATAACTATCCTTGATTGTTCATGATTGTTATCATCCTTTGTAAAATTTTGTAGCAGGAATATTAAATAACTTAACCTGTAATGTATATCAAGATTTATTTGACCAGTATTTATGATAGAATTGTCTGTTTGAGGTGTGAATCATACTTATATTCTATCATGGATGCCTTGTTTCTTTCTCGCAGTTACATTTCTTGTTAGGGGATAACTTACTGCCTCTATGATTCCTTCTATTGTTAATAGGTTTTATCTGAAGATTTGCCTGCTGCCATTGCTAAAATATCTTTTCCAAAGACAATGCGCTGGAATTCTCAGGTATGCAGCTGCTTAAATCATTCAGCAAAAGTTAATGCGGCTTTTGTTTGCACACAAATTGAAAGACTAGAGCTAGAACAGTTTTGTGAATTTAGTTCTGCAAAATTTGACCGTATTAAACCCTTATTGAAGAAATTCTTAATGACCTTAAAATTAGCCGTTTTGGTTTGGATTAAAATCTAAACCTTTTGCTTTCGAACACTACACATAACAGCTTTATTAGCAGTGAGTTAGTACCTTGATTTGTCTTCCAGTGTTGACTCTGTGCGTGTGTTAGTGTGAATATATTCGACCTTGTTCGTGCAACTTTGTGTGGGTTCGACTTGGTGGTGCTTCTCCCATTAAGACCTGTTAGTAACCGGATCATGATGAATTTCAGGTCCTTTCAGGTGTTAAATACCACGGGTGATTTTGGGATATTCACAGAAATCCTATACCCTTCCAGAAGTTCCTCTATCTCATGCTTCTGTTACAGAGACCCAATTGGTCTCAATTATTCCGCATTTGTGGAAGAAGAATTTGCTGGGAGTTTTCCCCAGTTTGGATAGGATAGAAAATATAAGAGGAAACAAAGGTAGGGGAGAAAATAGGGTGGGGGTGTAAACTCTTTTTTTTTTTTTTTTTTGAGGATCCGTTATAATAATGAGAAAGATTTCTGCATATCTGCAAAAATCGGTCAATAATATCAAAATCGGATGAATCGGCCTATTTTCTTCCTAATTTTTCTCTCCTCAAGTGGAGTCTGGAGAGATTTTGAGATGAATTGCGATTTATCATGTGGAATTGCTTTACTTGCTGCTGCAATGATATGAAGATGACCCAAGATTGGAAGGCTTTTATTACTCTTTTTAACAAAAAAAGAACAAGAAACCTTGATTTTGCCCATGAAAATAAACTTCGATTTTAGTTTGTCATTTTTCAGTGTTAGCATATTGCATGATTAACATGATTTTTCCAATGATAAATTATATCTTTCCCATGATAAATTAAAATATAATAACATGAAAAATAAATTTTTACCAAATAATTTAATTTAATTTTAAATTATTTGATGTTAATTTTAATATGTTTTTATTGTGATATTTAATTTATTTTAAACATGATATATTTTGACATAAGGGTAAGGGTGTTTTAGTCATACATATGTTTATTCATTTTCTTTCTTTCCCAGTCCAAACAAGAGGAGTGTTAATGTTTTCTTTCTAATTTTCTCTCCCATTTGTTTCCTCCTAACTTTTCTTTTGATCCAAATGGAGGGTTGGAGATGAGGAAGGAGATTCCCATGGCTAAAGAGTGCTTTGAAGTGCTCACATCTAACCTGGGGAAGTGTTGAGAGGCGCAGGTTTAGGATTATTTATTAATTAATTAGTTAATTAATATTTATATGTTTCTTTTATATTGTGTTATTTCTTTAGTTATATACATCCTAGGATTTGATATGATACTATGGTTAGTTTATGTTTGCTTGTGTACATGGGTTATTCAAGGACTAATAATAAAACAAAATAAGTGAGAAGATTTATTTATTGCGCATGCTCATAGTACAAATATTAGGAGACATACATGGGTGATTTATGTCATTTCTGTTGCCTATCCCTTTCAAAGAAAAGATATTTCTTTGGGGGAGGAGCTTCAGAATTCCATTCAAGGTTTTTAAGAGTAAAACCTCCCTTTATGGGGGAGGAGATAAGGAACTCAAGGTAAGATATATGTGGATACTCAGATGAATAGTTTAAGCTCCAAACTCTCTTATGGATGGATTGTAAAATTCTAACATTGTCAAGAAGAGGCCAAAAAAAAAAAAGAATCTCGTTTTCATTTGTGTCTCCTGGCAAAGTCCCTTGAAAAGTAAAAATTACAATAAAGCATATCCCTTAGATCAAATAAAAAGGCGCCTCATCATTGCGTTTACTTTCATTTCTTATTGGGAGCGTCATCTGACAGGTAGGGATGACTTCTAACCTCCTTGGAATATTTGAAAGTGATCACAGTAATTGTTTCAGTGGTAAGTGAAGAACTCTTATGGTTCTGAATTGATTTCATTCAAATAAACAAGCAGAATATAAATAGGTTACAGCAGCCTTATCTAGATGAAGGTAAAAGGCCCCTATTCCTAAGGAAAATCAGAAAGATACTGGTTTGAATGATAAAACAGAATAATATCCTAAATCCTAGATTACATCTGAAATTTAAATTGCAATAACTAACCCTAATCAGGGTTTTGGGCGGCAGCACTAATTAGGGTTAGGGTTTTGAGGTCCATGGCCCAATCTTTGCTAACACTCTCTCTCAAGCTGGCAAGTAGATATCCAGTATGCCTAGCTTGTCTCTGAAGTTTTGAAACTTGGGCCATTCCAAAGGTTTTATAAGAACATCAGCTACTTGAAATGAGGTTTTTATATGGGAAAGATCAATAATATTTGATTCAATCTTCTCCTTTATGAAGTGTCTATCAATGTCCACGTGCTTAGTCCTGTCATGATGAACTGGGTTGTGAGTCATTTGTATTGCCGACATGCTGTCACAACCATAGTTTAATAAGTGCATCAATAGTGAATCTAAGTTCTCTTAATACTCGGATAATCCCCATGCCTTCACAAACATCGTTAGCTAGGGTTTGTAGTTCAGCTTCTGCACTGCTTCTTGAGACTACGGTTTGTTTCTTGCTTCTTGAAGTTACAAGGTTGCCCCAAACAAAGGTAAAGTAGCCCCCTGTTGATCTTCTATCAAGACATGTTCTTCCATGATCTGCATCGGTATATACCACTATATTCCTTGATGTCTTTTTTTGAAGAAAATTCCTCTTTCTGGTGTCATCTTTAAGTACTTGGGTATTGTATAAATGGCTTCCATATGATGTTCCTGTGGTTGTGCTGAGAATTGGCTAACCACTCCCACTGCATAGCTTATATTAGGTCTAGTATGAGACAAGTAAATAAGTTTACCCACTAGTCGTTTGTATCTTTCTGTATCAATTGCCACACCATCCTTCTTGAATTCTAAGTCAACAGACGGATCCATAGGAGTTGGTGAAGGCTTAGCTCCAAGCAATCCTGTTTCCTTGAGCAAATCAAGTATGTACTTTCTTTGTGAGACAGAGATGCCTTCTTTTGATCTAGCAATTTCCATTTCAAGAAAGTACTTTAGGTGTCCGATGTCTTTAACCTCAAATGTAGTGGCTAGAGTCTTTTTCAACCTTTCTATTTCTCCAAAATCATCTCCAGTTATCACAATATCATCAACATACACAATTAAAATAGCAACTTTCATACTTGAATGCTTGACAAATAGTGTATGATCAGATTGACATTGAATATAACCTAAACTCTTCACCACCTTTGTAAATCTATCAAACCATGCTTTTGGGGATTGCTTGAGATCATAAAGAGACTTATATAATCTGCAAGTCTTATTGAGATTTTCATATTCTACTAGCCCTTCAGGGATCCTCATATAAACTTCTTCAAGATCTCCATTTAGAAATGCATTTTTCACATCTAGCTGGTGTAATGGCCAATCAAGGTTGGCAGCTAGGGATAATAGTATTTGAATAGTGTTCAATTTTGCCACTGGTGCAAATGTTTCTTGGTAATCAATACCTTGAGTTTGGGAGAATCATTTTGGAACAAGTTTGGCTTTGAACTTGTTTATAGATCCATCTGAATTGTATTTTATTGTAAAGACCCACTAACATCCTACAGCTTTCTTTCCAAGTGGTATTTGAACTATAGTCCACGTCTCATTCTTTTCTGGAGCCTTAAGCTCTTCATCAATAGTACTTTTCCACCTTGGATCCTTGATAGCGTCATCAAAATGAGAAGGAACTGTCTCCTTGTCAAGTTTAGTCACAAAACTTTTCATACAAGTAGATAGCTTGTCATAAGAAACAAAATAACTAATAGGATGCATGGTACATTCTCTTACCCCTTTTCTAAGTGCCATTGGCCAGCTGAGATCATTAGGAACTGTAGATTAGGTTGACTCTTGACCTTGCCATGACCCATAAAGATCCCTACTGTTTTCAGTGACTTCTTCCTCTTGAGTATGCTCTGTTTCAGTTTCAGATTCCTCCGTTATATTGTTTGGCAAGGCATAGCTAGGCACTATTCTAGGTTCAGATGGAGGGGATGGTGATTCTGGGTTAGATTCTAGAGTGGAAACAGATTTAGGTTCAGTGAGGCTTGTGATTTCAGGATGTGGAGGGCTTGGGTCAGGTTGAAGTGAATCTGTAAAATTAGAATCAGGTTCAATAGTATTGGGTTCTGGTGTAATATTAGGTTGGTCATGATGCAAAGGCTCCCATTCCCCCATACTCTCCCCTGAATGGGAGAATTAGTGTAATATGCTTGATCCTCAACAAATTTGACATCCATGGTGACAAAGTATTTTCGAAGTGAGGGAGAGTAGCACTTGTAGCCTTTTTGTGATGGTGAATATCCTAAAAATAGACATTTAATGGCTCGGGTTTCAAATTTGCCTCCTTCTTTGTGATATACATAGGCTAAGCATCCAAAAACTTTCAAAGGAAGATTGGTGGCCAATAAAGTATTTGGGTAGGTTTGTGCAAGAAGGTCCATTGGTATCTTAAAGTTGAGGGTTTTGGAGGGTAGTCTATTTATAAGATGCACGGCTGTGAGGATAGCTTCTCCCTAGTATTGTTTGGGAACATGGTGAGTGAACATAAGGGCTCGAGTGACTTCTAGGTGTCTGTTTTTGCGTTTTGTTGTTCCATTTTGCTGGGGGATATTAACACAGCTGGTTTAGTGAATTATGCCGTGGTCTTGGAGGTAACTTTAGAGGTGTTGGCTTAGATATTCTTGGCCATTATCACTGCGAAGAGTTAAAATTTGGGTATGAAACTGAGTTTCAATCATCTTGTGAAATTTGATAAAAATGGAAGACAAATCAGATTTTTTTTTCATAAGGAACACCCACGTGAGGCAATTGTGATCATCAATAAAGGTAACAAACCATTTAGCATGGGATAAGGAGGGAATTTGAGAAGGTCCCCAAATGTCACTATGAATTAGATGAAAGGGTTTTGAAAATTGATGGGAATGGGGTTTGTAGGTTGCTTTGGTTTGTTTTGCACATTGACAAATATCACAAATGAAAGAGTAATCACTTTTATTCATAACATGGGGGAACGACTTTGACATGTAATGAAAACTGGGATGACCTAGTCTATAGTGCCATAACAGTGCCTCTTTATTTTCACATCTAGTAGACAATGATAAAGAAAACTTCACAGCATTTGAACAAGAGTAGGATTTCAGCAAACCATCTTGCACTTCCAAATAGTAGAGATCTTCTAAAATCTTAGCAGTGCCAATCGTCTTCCTTCTCTCCAGATCCTGAAAAATGCATTCAATAGATGTGAAATAAGCACCACATTTCTGACTATGAGTTATAGTTTTCACAGATAACAAGCTGCATTTTAAACCAGGGGTATAGAAAACATTATACAAAATAATTTCAGGTGTTATATATGTTGTTCCCAGTCCCTTGACTGTCAAGGCTTTCCCATCTGCCACTTTTACAAATATATTGAAAGGATAGGGCTTGATATCTGTCAACAATTCTGAATTTCCAGTCATGTGGTCAATAGCTCCAGAATCTACAATCCACAATCTTTTATGATGCACTTTAGCTTTAAGGGCTAGTACTGTTTTACCTGTGTGGGCTATATATCCAACTGCAATTGTACTCTCTTGAGAATCATGTTTCTCTAGGAATCTTCTAAGTAGATCTAGTTCTTCTTTGGTGAATTCTGATCTCTTTTTTCCTTCAATAGACCCTGCATATCCTCGGCCTTCTTGCTTTCCTCTCTTTGGAGGTTTTCCATTCAGCTTCCAACCAATCTCTCTTGTATGACCTTTTTTTTTGCAATAATCACACCATCTGTTCTGTTTCTTATTGTCATCATGAGTTGAGCCTTTGGAAATTAGGGCACTCGGCTGGCTTGTGTCATTGGAATTGTCGCTACTCACCAATTTCTTTCTGCTTTCTTCACTTCTCACAGTGAAAAAGACTTTACGGAGAGAGGGCAATTCTTCAAGTCCCATTATTCTCCCACGAACTTCTTCAAATGATGCATCTAATCCAAGAAGAAATTTGAAAACCCTTTTTTCTTCTTTAATTTTTGTATATATTGCAGCATCACTAGCACATTTCCAAGCATGTGCCTTAGGAATCAAGTTGCTGCCATTTGACAACCAATTCAGTGTAGTATTGAGTCACAGAAAGGTTGCCTTTCTTGAAATCATGTAAAAATAGTTCAATTTCAATGATGGCAGCCTTGTTTTTAACAGCAGCAAACATATCTCTGGCTGCATCCCACACTTCTCATGCTGTTGGAAAGAAGTGTGCACTAATTTCTGTAGTCATAGAGTTAATAAGCCATGCTTGCACCATTGAGTTTTCAGCTTCCCATTTTGCATATTTTTCGTCTGTGGTTGTTGGTTGTTCTGCAGCTCCAGTAAGGTATCCGTATTTGCCTCTTCCCATGACAAACAGACGCACACTAGCTGCCCATTATAGGTAATTCTCGCCATTAAGGTGATGAATGGTAATAGAGAAAGGATGGGTCTCGGATGCACTAGGATTGCTGGTCACATTGGCTGCCAAACTAATAGGTTTGTCGGTGCTAGATTAGGGTTTATTTGGCCTTCATGAGGCAGGCCCATACCAAATCTAATCATTATGCTCTGATACCATGAAGAACTCTTATGGTTCTTAATTGATTTCATTCGAATAAAGAAGCAGAATATAAATAGGTTACAACAGCCTCATCTAGATGAGGGTAGAAGGCCGAAATCTTAGGGATAGGCCGAAATCCTAGGAAAATCAGAAAGATACTGGTTTGAATGATAAAATAGAATAATATCCTAAATCCTAGATTACATCTGAAATTTAAATTGCAATGACTAACCCTAATTAGGGTTTTGGGTGGCAACACTAATTAGGGTTAGGGTTTTGAGGCCCACGGCCCAACCTTTGCTAACAGCAAGTGATCACTGTGCCATTTATTTTATTTCTTTGTTGAGTCTATTGTAAATAAGTCAACTCTTAAAGACACTATTATGCATTTTCTCGAACTTCAAGGATACTGTTGGAAATTCTCCTTAGCTTTGTGCCTATAAATTGAGGTTCCTGATACTTATATAGCATCAGAGCATGTGTTCGAGAGAAAAACATGATTCTCAACATCTTTCTCAGGTCATATTCATTTGGCAAGCTCCTTCAACCCCTAATCAACGGAATGCAGCGAGGAACCATTTTTAAGGCTAATAAGCAATTAACAACTTTTGATCCTCAAAGTTATCACTAATACAGAATCATTATTTATGCTGGTTTCCCCAGAAATATTTGAATCAGTTGGTTATGTTTTCTTTGCTTTTTATTTGTAGGTAATGTTCAGCAGGCCTATACGTTGGATTTTGGCCATGCATGGGGATGTAGTAGTCCCATTTATGTTTGCTGGGCTAATAAGGTAGTTCAGAGTCTTTGGATAATTTCTACTTCACCTCCATCATCTCCTCTTCATCTGAGTCTTGTCACAAAGTCATTCATTCTTTTTTATTTTTATGTACTGATGTTCACATGAAGTTGATTTCATTCTAGCATAACGTGTACAACTTTATTTGAAATTTGGATTGCTTTTCATGAAGTTTTTGCGAAAGCCATATGTGCGTGTTATATGTGTATGTGAGTATATATGTCCCCACTTTCCCTTTTGTGTCTGTGTGAGCACACCTGCATGTGTTGTTCTGTTCCTAAACATTTACTTTGGATGCATTTGAAAGCCTCGAGATGACTTGCAGAATGAGTTTCATTTATAGCCAATTGATATCTCTAGCTTAATCATAATGCTGTCCTGAAGCCGGGCAGTTAGGGAGTTATAGAATAGACTTCTCTAGCCAATTTTCAGTGTTTTCAGTTGGTAATTCGCTGTAAGCTAGATTCATTATGAAATATGGAGAAAGAGTAGCTTGTGTTGATATAAAATGAGCAAGAATACAAGGTTATTTATAAACACTTGTGCAATAATGCTACCATCTACCATTTACTAACTACTAACTTTTAACAAATATTCTGAGCGTTTCCATTACTTTTGATAGGTTATGCATAAGAGCAATTGCCCTGATTGGATATTTTTCAAATACTAGGCAACTTCCATTATGACATATAAAACGGATAAAATAAAAAATAATGAACCAAGAGACTTTGTTCAATCTAAATCCTTAGGAATTCTCATTACTTCAAGTCCCTTCTAGTTCTATTTATTTATGATGAATTTATAACTCCTAACCTGTTCGTTTCTATGATGTAGTGGAAACTTATCTTGTGGTCTTCGTAATACTTCTTCAGCTGTTGTCCAGGTGCTTGCCTACTCGTATTTGTCAGTTGGAAAATGTTTTACTTGATAATTTTTTCATTGTTTACCTAAGTATCCGCTTCCCATTTCATGATTTGCTAAATTAATACACTTTTGGATGTATTTTATGATTTATGAGATCAAGTGTTTCTTTGTTGGCTCAGTTTCTTTGCACTCTATGGAGTGTCTACTTTTGTCTGTTTGTGAGATATTAAGAGAGAGAAGTGTCCTGGTTACTTGTGTTTCATTGATCATCGTACAAACAGAAAGGTTAAACTTTTGCAGGTAGAAAGCGCTGAATCTTATGCAGATGCTATTAAAAGTGCTGGAATTAATGTTGCAATAGAGGTAGCAATGGGATTTTCTTCTTTAAAAAAATGGATATATCTGTGTATCAAGTGGCGAAACCTTCTTGCCCAATTTTGCAGGGGCGCAGAAGTATAATATTGGAGCAATGTCGCACACTAGCAGAAAGTGTAAATGGTCGAATATTTATTCCAAATGGGTTGCTTGATGAGGTAATGGATGTTAATTTCTCTTTTCTCTAGTGTAAATCTTGAGTTCTAATAATAGCTATCTAAACCAAATTTTAGGTTGTAAATCTTGTTGAGGCGCCTGTTCCAGTGCTTGGAAAATTTAAAGAATCCTTTCTGGAGCTTCCTAAAGATCTTCTGACTATGGTGGGTTGAGCTCTTAACTGTCTGTAGTCAATTTTGATTGTTGCTTTTTGCCTTGGTCTCTAAAATTTTTCTTATAATCTTAATTTACAAGCTACATGGAGAGTATGTGTTGATTACTACTACTTTGCTTGCATGTCTCCTGACCTTATTTGAGGAATTGTGGGGGGAACATGTATTTCATTCATACTCAGGCGATTGATACATGCCAATATATATAGACGGGAAGGAAATCAAGGCAATCGAGATTAATAAAGCCTAATAAATGCTAATAAAGGCCTACAAATAATTAATATAAAGAGTAGAATATTCCCACACACCCTTTCAAGTTGGATCAGAGATATTGATTAAGTGCAACTTGCCTGTGCATTTATCAAAATTCTCTCTTGGCAGTCTCGTGGTGAGCATATCACAGGTCACCAATCTGTTTCTCCGATGAAACATACACAAGACACACTTCCATTTTCAATCTCTTCATTGATGAAGTGTTTGTCCACTTCCAAATGTTTAGTTCAATCATGTTGAAATGGATTATGATGTATACTTATGGCTTCCTTACTATCATAATAGAGCTTGATGGCTAATTCCACCTCAATCTGTAGGTCTTTGAGGAGGTTTTGCAGCCACAACCCCCCACAAATTCTATGTACCACAGCTTTGAACTCACTTTCTCCAGCACTGCTAAACACCACATTTTGTTTCTTGCTCCTCCAAGTTACTAGGTTGCCCCATACAGGGTACAATACCTAGATGTAGATCTTCTATCCTCTAAAGCACCCCCCCCAAAAAAAAAAGATGTCAATCTGTATCTCTGCATTAGGTTATTTGCCTCTTTCAATGAATAAGCCCTTTTCTATGGTGCCCTTTAAGTATCCCAAGATCCTATAAACAGCTTGTAAGTGAATTTCCTTTAATGAATGCATATGTTGACTTACCAAACTTATAGCAAAGGCATTTTTGGCATGGATTGTAGTTATAAACTGATTGACAACACCTCTACTACTTCCTGAATTGTTGCCACCTTGCTGTGTTGAAATTGGAAATTAAGAATATTCATTAATATCTGAAATGACATAATAATATTGTAGCCAAGACTGAGGGTAAAATATTGTAGTTCGAAGATAAAGTAGGGAAGGAAATGCAGTTTCTTCCTAAGGTATGACAAATAGAGGAACCTAGCATACGTAGAGAGTGTCTTCTTGACTTCTCTAACGAAGGCTGAGTTACCAATCTTGGAGAATTGAAGGGATAAATCGAGAAAGTCAAGTTGCTGTCAGAGAGGCCTGCCATTGCCAATATTACCTCGTCACACGCTACAGGCAATGTTGAAGCATTGTTGGAGTTGAGACTACAGGTGGCACGTGGAGAGCACACGTGTTGTCATTCAAGTACGTGGAAAGAAAACAAGTACTTCAGCTCCTAATAAAGTACATACGGTAGCTATTTATGGTTTTTGGAACTAAAATTAATTAAATAATAAATCATGCAAAATGATGCATATGTAGTCATGCAGGAAGATATAAGATTTGAAATGACCACATATGAGGAAAAGTTGGAGTGGCTTTTAGTCAGAAGAAGCTGGTGGAAAAACTTTTAAGGTGGTTTGGGTATATACAAAGAACGTTGAAGGAGACGCTGGTGAGGAGGGTTAAACAGATTGTGTTGATTTCTCTGAAGATAGGTAGAGGATGACCAAGAAGAGCACTCAAATAAGTTATGGAATTGACTCTTCCAGTAAATAGTCTATCTAATGAGTGGATTGTTGATAGAGTACATTGGCATAATGTGATCCATGTAGTTGATCTCACCTAATGGGATAAAGTTGTTATTGTCGTACATTCTTTTTTTTTTTTTTTAACTGTAAAAATTAGAACATTATTTTATTTCTAATTGTTGATTGTGCATTTTTTAAAATTAAAAGTAAATTAACATTAAATCTGGAACATCCTGTTTTAGTTGAAATAATCCAGATTGATGAGCACCCAATCTCAATCCCTTGTCATATGGCATATCATTTCACAAGGTTTGTGCTTAGCTAATCTTGAGCATTGCCAGAAACCTCATTTTGAAACGGACAGGATGTTCAATTGTTCATTAATGGAAAAATTGATACCATTCTATGCAAGCTTCCAAGTTTTGAGGACTTATGAAAATGATAAATAATTACTATGTACATCTCCTGCAGGTTATGCAAAAGCACCAAAAGTATTTTGCTGTATGTGATGATAACGGAGGATTGTTGCCATACTTTATTGCTGTGAGTTCTGGTTAAATACCTAATCTTCTAGGACGATTGAATGGTCAATTTTTCATCTGTAAAGTGACATGAAATCTTTGTTAGGTTGCAAATGGAGCAATCAATGAAGCTGTTGTAAGGAGAGGAAATGAGGCTGTGCTTAGGTATTCATCTGTCAATTAACCAATGTTATATAGTACTTCAAAAATTTACGTATTCTAATACAATTATTTGAACGATGTGCATTTTACAGTCTATATCCATATCATAAGTATTAATGACTACGTTCATTGTAATGCTCTTTGTACTCGTAATAATAGATTGTTTTTGTTTAGTATGTTTGAGATATAGGCTGTGGGCCCTGGACATGTGTGCATATTCAATTATGTGCTTTTTTAAGAACAAAAAAAAGCTAAAATATTTTGCATCCATTGCTTGTTCTTCAGAACCAATCTCTTATTTGCATAATGTTGTTTGTTTTAACATCTCAAGTCATTATGTTCATTTATAAAGACTCTACTCCATCCACTTTTAACCTGTCATATTGTACACATTTTCAGGGCTCGCTATGAAGATGCCAAATTCTTCTATGAGATGGACAGACATAAAAGATTTTCAGAATTTCGAAATCAACTGAAGAATATTCTCTTTCATGTAAGTTGCTCAAGACTTCAAACAACCCGTAGGGAATGAATAGGAGATCTAATATCTTGGCTCTTAATTTGAAAGTTCAAGAAAGTATTTTCTTCTCAAGCGGACAAACAATTTTCTCATAAGTTTATAGTTCATATTAAAATCAAAACATGGGTAAAATCAATCTTCAGATGACATCAGTGTAAAAGATTTTAGAAAATACGTGTGTAAGTTACTTAACTATCCATTAGAAATGGCTTTATTACATAGCCCTTCAATGCAACAGACATATTCAATAATGGGATTGACTCAGTAATTCCCAACAACATTTTACGGGATCCTCGGGCTGACATGTTATCTCCCCTGCTCCCCTGGTTCAATCATGTGCTAACAAATTACATTTAATGAACTTATTACTGAAAGAAGCTAATATGGATTGTTAAGTGAGAAAAATGTAGAATCATATTGTTAAGTAGGCAATTAAAGAAACCCCAGCTCATATCTTGAAGAATTTTATGCCCTGTTTGATACAATGGAAGAGTTTTTGATGAAAGTAGAAGTGGAAGTGGAAGAGGAAGTGGGTTTAAAAGTGTGTTTGGTATGACCATAGAAGTATGGCATAATTTTTAATTAATATGTTAATTTTAAATACGAAAAGACCAATATACCCTTCCCCAAAAATCCAAGCCTCCACCCAAAAAACACAATCACACATCAACCTCCACAAAAGCTACCAGCAACCACCACCCGTCAACAACAACATCAACGAACAAAATATCAAGATGTAGAAACACCCATTAACAAAAGAAAGACAAAAGGGATCGAATGACAAAAAATGGAGGTAGCAATGAATGCCATTAACAAAGAAAGACAAAAGAATCGAATGGAGAAAATGGAGATACAGAAATCGCATTGAACAGGGAGAATAGTGTAGCAGAAATCGTAGATTGAAGAGGAAAGGGAGAGGCAGCATAAAGCTTCCAGATCAAAGTGAGAGATGCTGTCAGTTGTTGGCAAATCACCAGACCAAAGAGGGAAGACACTATCTCTGTCACAAAAACTGCAGATTAAAGAGCAAGGTGCCGTCCGTCATTGCCTGTGTCTTCTGCTATTGCCTACCCCACTGTCCTCATGCTGTCCTCTGCCTTGTCGTCATCCTTGTTTACTGTCATTGTCAGATCTGTGGGAGGCCAAAATGGTCACCATTTTTGAGTTCCATGGAACTAAGACGGGTTCCATGGTAGGGGTATGGAACCCACTTCCATTTCCATCGTTTTCTTATGGAAGCAGGTTCCAATAAGAAGGGGGTTCCCAGCTACCAAACGCTCCAAATATATGGTTCTGGTTCCAATTCCACTTCTTCAGCCTCGGTTCCATACTACCAAATGGGGCATTAGAGTTTAATGATGATCTGATTTATTCGTTGGAATCTGAATATTCGGAGTACACATGAGGTTTGGAAGGCTAAGTTGCAATGTCTAAAATCCCAAGAAGATATCTAATGTCAATGTTAAATTAAAACTAGCTTATCTTGACTGAAATATAAGGTGAAAAGAAAAAGTGTTACAACCTGAAAAAACACTTGTGATATAAAGAGATAATTTTTGCGAGAGTAAATAAAATGAAACACCAAATGCTATCAAAATGCTGCTAAATAATACACATAGTACAGTATGGAAGTTAATATTCGCTTCAGGAATGGTTTTCTCCACCATACATTGATGCTATCATTGATCTTGAGCTCTAGGGCTCTTCACTAGGCCTTGCATGACTCATTGGATGAAGCTCACTTGTGCCTGGACATACATAACTTGCGAGGAAAAAGCACATATGGTTAATGTTGTTGGGAATATAATAATGATTGCTTGCTCATATAGTCATGGTTTGGTTATTTCATTGAGGATAATTTGAATGCCAAGCACTGAAATTATTGTTTGAATTGATTTTTTATAACAAGTTAGATTTCTTTCTTCTTTTTTTTCCCCCCATACTATCTGTGTCAGACTTGCCTTCTCTTGGCATTAGGTTTGAGTTTGTTGGCTTCATTGCTGATAGTTTGAGAATAGTGGCCAGTTAAGTGTTTTGGGGTTCGATTTCCATTCTTCTCTTTTTCCTTCAGAAGCATGGTTTGCCGCTTCTGGTGTTAGGGATGACAGTATTGGAGTCTATATGTAGGGATCTAGGCCTAAAGTTTGTTTCTTCCTTTTTTGTTCGTAACTAAATTTGTTTCAGCACAATATCTGATGGGTTGTGGTTTGTGCCACTTCAAGCCTAAAGAGCATTATATGTGGAGGTGTATTCAAGATTGTATTGAAAGCTAAGAATGGATGCTGTTTACGTGAATATTAGTTGTCACTAATATATGGTAGTTCTTGGAGATATAGTGCATAATCTGTAATAGTCTCTCTTCCTAACACCCAATACAATAAACAGGAGAAACTTGGAACCATGCTGGATAAGATGACTCGTGTCGAAAACATAGTTGATAAACTGTGTTCATTCTTGGAAATCAGTGAGGGCGTGCATCTAATTGTTCAGGAAGCAGCATCACTTGCTATGTCTGATCTGGTCACTGCCGTTGTCACTGAATTTACATCGCTTTCTGGAATTATGGGGCGTCACTATGCTCTTGAAGATGGATACTCAGAGCAGGTTGTTTTTTTGGTGAAGGCTTTCTTACTATTCTATTTGGTAACATTAAGAGTTGCATTTACATCCGTGTCTCCATGCCAGTCAATTGTATATTTTGTCTTCCTAGCATATGTGTATGTCAACTACAATTATTTTTGTTCATAACTTGTTGCCCTGTACCTTGCAGGTTGCTGATGCCCTGTTTGAGATCACCCTTCCTAGATTTTCTGGTGATATTCTTCCCAAAAGTGATGCTGGAATAGTTTTGGCAATTGCTGATAGGTGAAAATTTTAGTGTCAATCTTTGTTGTCTGTTTTCAGTGATGATTCACATTACAAGAGGTAGAAACTTGTTTCTGCCACAACAAATGGGTGGCACATATGCCATGCTTTTCTTATAGACGCTTCACAATTGATCTTCAAGTAGTTAAAGATCTAATAATCTTAAAATGAATGCCTTGAATTTTCCTGTGATTATTCGCTTGCTTTGGCCTTTTGCCTCCATTGGTTGTATTCTTTTTATTTTTATTTTTTTGGTTTCAGATTGACAGTGACCATTAGGTTTAGGAACTAGGACTGACATGTAAGAAATAAATGGTGGTTCCATTAATGTGCATGCAAGTTGAGAATCCTAGTATCACAAGGGGAATTTTCTTTTAAAGTAGTATTTGTGCTTGTTTATTCCTGACCTTTGCAGAAGCAATATATAGATATATATTGTGTTATATATGTGCGTTGTTGTTTGGTGAATCTGTCATATCCTTTGTTCTGCACCTTGCTTGATGTGATTGTTGTCCTGCAGATTAGATAGCCTGGTTGGTTTATTTGCTGCTGGTTGTCAACCTAGTTCCGCAAATGACCCATTTGGCCTGCGGAGAATCTCATATGGTCTTGTAAGTTTATCATTATATGTATACTTTGTAAGTTTTTGAAATCCAAATACTTGTACTAATGTGCTGCTTTCTATTATTTAATTCAGGTACAGTTGTTGGTGGAAAAGAATAAAAACCTACATTTTAAACTGGCTCTGGAACTAGCAGCAAATGTCCAACCCATTAAAGTTGATCCTTGTGTAATTGATGATGTAAGATGGAAGTCCTCTATTCTTTATTATAGATAAACCAGTTCTATGCTCTTTTTTCCTTATATTTGTGTAACTATTTTGACTTTATTGTATTATATTTTGATCTCCCTATGTATAGCTCTACAGTCTACAGTGATGGAAGTTTTAAACCTGTAGCCACCCCAAAAAAAGGGAAAAGAAAAAATTCATACACTTTTCCCTTCACGCTTTTGCTCTTATGAATTTTTTGCTTAATAATTTACAATTGGCTGTTAATAAATCAGGCCGACTTATTATTATTTGTATTCCATCACACGAGTGAAAGCAAGGGAAACGAGACTTCAGGGTATAGATTTGATTATGCTCTTTCATACATTTACAATGAAAAAAAAAAATGAAGCTTTTTTTAATTAAAATTTTTCATAACATTTTATGTATATATCACACATACACACTGGCAGTGCAAGATTTCAATTTCAGACCTTGGTCTTTGTTGATGCTTTCACACTTTGTGTTTTACCAAAATCTGATTATGATGATATTACCTTTAGGTGCATCAATTCGTTACTCGGAGATTGGAGCAGTACCTGGTATGTGCGTTCATAAAAATAGTTATTTGCTTGATGTTTAATACTTTATCTCTCATATTATCATTAATTATTAAATGTGGAACTTTTGAGGAAAAATACTCTGTATTTCATTGATCTGAAGCATGCACTGCATCCCTATTTAATTACACAAGGGAGATACTGCGGCCATGGCCCAAGGGTGAGCAAACTGGATCTCACTGCCCCCATAGAGTAGTATTGATCTCATAATATTGACAAAGGTAATGATGGGAGTTCCACAAAAGGCCTAAGAAAAGACACTTCATTTTGCAAGCTCTAAGGTCATTATTGTTGGATCTGAAGATATGGTGTGACAACTTTATTATAGTACGAGGAAGAACTATGAGAGGCACAACATAGTGTGGGACAAACGCGCCCCAGCTACACACAAAGGAGCTCTAAGATCACGTTGAAGCAAATGTGGTGAGAAATGCAACGAATGTGACCTCACACACCAGTGACAAGAAAGTGGGTAGAGAACCTTTCTTTTTTCCTTTTTTGGTGATAAAAGTGGCTAGAGAACTTCGACCGTGGTGGCACATGCTGCAGCAGATAATGGTTGGACTGTAGGGGTTGGCTAGTTGGTGACGTCTGAATTTAGAACAATAGCTTGTGGAATATTCTAGGAGTTGAAGTGGTTTGAGCAATAAATCTTTGGATTAACAGTAATGTTGCTATTGGTATCACAGATAATCTTATACAATATGATCACACTAAGCATATGAGACTGATAGACAGTTTTTCAAGGAGAAGATGGAGATGAAAGTGATTGACATTTCCTATATCTCATCTGGAGCATAAATTGCAAATGTGATGGCAAGGTCTCGTACTATCAAGAAGTTATAAATCAAAAGCATGTTGGGAATGATCAACATCTATTCATCAGTTTGAGGGGGGGTGGTGGAGTGGTGTTTTCCTCTTGGGCCCATAACAATATAACCCTAGTATTCCTTTCATTAGTAGAATTATCCTTGTACTCCTCCGGTCCTTAATATAGGACCCATTTACCTAATTTGATTAGATTAAGGAAGTTAGGTAAGTTAGTTAATTATAAAAATTGTGACATGTTTTTCCTAAAATACCATAATCATCTTTCTTAATACTCCTCTCTATCTTCTACTTGATTATGGTTGATAGAGTATCCATAGGGGTAATTTAGAGAAAATTGATAAATATGATAAATGGGTCTTATATTTAGGACCAAAATCAACTCAACAATTGGGTCCTATATTAAGGACCGGAGGAGTATATGCTTTTATATGATCATTTCATCATCTCTCAGATTTTAGGATTAATTATTTTTGTACTTTTTCCATTTTGACGAGATTGGATGCAATCTCACACTCTCCCTTTATTCCCCTATATGTGTACTTTGCTTTGGCTGATTAAGAAATAAGTATATGCGGCTTGCTCATATTATTTCAGTATGGCCAGATAAAATGCTTTTCAAACACTTCTACAGTTCTCTATCACACTGATGGTTAGAAAACATGTGCCTTTTTTTCTGCTTCAGTGCATTAGGTCTTTCTGTTATGTTTCAGATAGAATATATTCTGACGCAATGGCGAGGTGAGTTTTACCATTATATCATATTTTTGTGACAGGTTGACAAGGGAGTAAGTGCAGAAGTAGTTCGTTCCATCCTTGCTGAACGGGCAAACTTGCCTTGTCTAGCAGCAAAATCAGCATACAAGGTAAGTTGAATTAGGGCTGGTAGTAAATGAGATTTTAGGGTTCTATCATATTAATCTCTTCTGAGCATCTCTTTTTTTTTTCTTTTTTCTTTTTTTTGGTGGTTTGCATCTGGTGTCTGTTGCATCAAAGGAAGGAGAGAGGGGGGGGGGGCGAGGAGGACTAACAGCAAAGCTGGTATCCAGCTGCTGTGGGAAAGATATATCAGCATACTCACTAATGCTTGATGCAGCTTTCTGTCAACAAGTGTTGAATATCCCTTTGAACCAACATTAGGAGTAAGGTTTACTGGAATATTGGCTAGCTTAGATCACTTCATGCTAACCTGTTTTGGTAAATCAGTCTTCTAGGATAGTACTCTTCCTCTACCAGACAGAGACAGAGTGACTGCCGGATTTTTTTTCTTTTTTTCCCCGAATACACTCTTCAAATGAGCTATCTCATTATCATCATTTCTTGCGATGGTTATATCGTTTGCATTAGCTATCAAAATAGTCATCTTATTGGTTGAAGACTTCATGGACAAAGTATGGTCCTGTGCGAATAGCCTCGCTTCTTTATTGTCTAGTGAGCCTCTCAAGCTGGGCTTGTGGAGATTATTTGAGCTCATAGAGAGATTCGATTTTCTAAGTATGCACACTGGAATATCATATTTAGTTAACTTTAGCCTTGGAGGAACTACCATGTAAGGTTCAAGATCTCTACTTATATATTAAAAAGAAAAAATTTGTTTAGGTCTCGCTGAGCTCAGCCATATGTTCAAAAGTCTCGTGAAAGTCAATTCCATTGTTTCATGTGAAAAATTGCGTTCTAATTATCAATGCTTTTAATTGCCTTGCGCATTACATTAAACTCCCACTTGCAAATTACCAGTTGCTTGCCTTGTAATTTACAAGACATCTCCTAATAAATACCATTATTTTGCAACACATGCTATTCTTCATTCAATCCATCTCTCTGCTTGGGATATTTAGGAGCCTTCGCCATGCAACGTGGAATTTGAATGCTGTTTATAGTTGTATTGAAGACCTTATAGCTTTGAAGCCTTTTAGATAGCTTCTCATAGGACAAAAACCATGGAATAGAATTTTGAGTAGGAAGATTATGATCAATAGCTAAATTCAATTCATTTGAGAATTCGGAATCAGAAATACCTAATGGTTCTTGGTCATTTTGGCAATGCTCTATCTTTCTAAGATGCATAAAGTAAACTCTAGGCTCCCTTTTTGCTCCACTTATTTTTTTCCCTGACTGTATGCTGGTCCCAAGTCAATTTTGGGATAGAAAAGTATTTGTTCAATGAATGTTACGTCTATTGAGATGTAACTTCTTTTGGTAGACTGATCGCTGCATTGGTACCCCTTATGGTGAGTGGAATACTGTAAAAACAAGCTGACTCCTTGATTTGTTGGAGAACATTAGTTTAGGATCTTAACTATCTCTTGTCCTGGTACTTGGTTCCTCCATAAAATGGATTATCTTTGTTTTTTTATTAATCTACTTTCTCATGTTGATGGCTAACAATGGTTGTTGTAGATGGAAGAACTATCAAGAGGCGAGCTTTTCTCAAAAGTTGTTGAAGCATATTCTCGGCCCACAAGAATTGTCCGTGGAAAGGAAGAAGTTCATATTAAGGTTTTTACCAATAATTAGTGGATTCTTAGAGGAAGCTAAATTACAATTAAATTTTAGGGATTTGATGTCGTCTATTTTGTTCGGTATTTCATGGGGATAAATGATACGCAGAGATGGTAGAGAATTCGATTTTTTCTGCTATTGAAACTAAAGAAACTAATGAAAGAGACTCTCAAATGACTAGATATAAATGCTGGTATATACCCTAGTAATGCTAATGATTGTTCACATGATTTGAAATAGAGTACATAGTAATATCTTCTATGTAAGACATAAAGTTAAAGTAGCTCCATCTAGGAACTTCTAATTAAAATATGAAATAATTTAATGTTTGCTGGAAGTTAATGTTTCTAAGGGCACAAACCATCAGACAAGAATTAAGGCATAATTCCCTCAATATCGGTTTTTTTTCCCGTAATTATTTAGCTATCCATTATTGTAAAGACTTTAGAAGACTCCAGAGATAATTTATTAGTTCAATAGACCGGACTATTTGCTTTGTAGATTTTTCGTTTCTTTTAGACTCTAGCAAGAAGATACAATTCAGTTAGTCTTACTGCTTTTGCATTTTAGCTTGCCAATCTTCCCGGCTGTGCGGACCAACTATTATATGTGTGTGTATATAGATGTCCCAACAAATCCTCTGCCATATAGGAAGGCATCAATATCCTGTGCCATATAGGAAGGCATCAATACAATGCTGTTCAAGTCGTATCCTTACTCATTCTCATCACAAAATAACGTCCTGGGTAAATTTAACCATAAAGATCTGGTTGATAATCGTAAGGACTATGTTAAGCGCAATAGGAAAAATGAATGATGCATTAAATTTTCTCCTTGGAAGGTTTGATTTGGGAGTGATATTTTAACAGTTCAACCATAAATGATGAAAGGATTCAATCTAATTCTGTAAATGTTCCGATGATTATCGCAAATGAATCACATTATTTAGTTTATTAGATGCATTTTGAGCGCTGATTGTTAAGTATATACTCATTTAGTTCATAACTGTTTATCATACAAGTGATGCTAAATAATGATGGAATCGCGATCATTTTTCAATTGCATGTCTTCTGATAATATTGGTATATCTCACTGCTTAAAAACCATTTGATTAGGTGGATGAAGCTGCCTTTGAAACAGAAGAAGAGAGGAGTTTATGGAGCACTTTCTTGTCTGTTAAGAAAAGAATTGATCCAGGTGTTATTGATGTTTGATAATATCATTTCCATACGTGTTTGCTAGAATAGTTTTGTTTCTCTGACTGGTTTTCTATTGTTTTCATATAACTAGTTTTTTTGTTCCTCCCTGGAAATGGGAATTTGCCATACATATCTTTTGATCAACCTTAATATTGGAGTTTCCTTCACTGTACAGGTCTTGAGATTGATAAATTTTTTGAAGTTTCATCTGAATTGATACAGCCACTTGAGGATTTCTTCAACCATGTCTTTGTGATGGTGGTACGTTAGCTTTGCTCTTAGATATATCATGACATTTATAATACCCAGTTCAGTTGAAGAACCGTCTTATAGCACTTCTGGTTGTCAATGCTTGGCAATTGTTTTAATAAACTTTCCTGTGGGATTAAAAGAAAGGGACCGAACACAAACTTAGTCGAGAAATAACGTTCCTACTATAGTTGGGGTCATCAGAACTCAGCATTTAAGCTCTTATAATATTAACCGGTCTCAACCCTGTGCATTTTACCCTGTGACTTATCTATTTATTCAATTTTTATAATTTGTAGTCTGAGGAAAAGAAACAATTACATCAACAAATAAGAGTGCCTCCCTGTTTTTATTTTTATGTAATATTTTGATATATTGGTATCTTAAATTTCTGATTCCTTGTCTCTGAATAGTCCGTTCTTTGTCCTTTTTAATCACATTTTGACATGGTTCTTTTTGTTTTTTTTGGCTGCTTATGTCGAATTCTAGTGACAATCTTGCAGTCTGAAATGGACAGCCATTTATACTTCTAGTTTTCTGTTGGATAATGGTAAAATATTTTCGGAAATACATGATAAATCCCTAATTTCATACGCCATCATGTAGGATGATGATAAAATCAGAAGGAACAGGCTAGCTATGCTTAAAGCAATTGCTGAACTCCCTAAAGGAATAGCAGATCTTACAGTTTTGCCGGGATTTTAAGGATGAATTATTTTGGAGGTTCCAAAGGCCTTAGAAGAGAGAAGCGGTTTTCTTCTCTCTTTTCCTGTTCATTTTGTGGGTACCTATACCATTATTTTTGCTGGGGGGAAGGAAAAATTGGTATTACCAATTTTGTATCGTGATTCATCAAATAAAATTGATATGTAATATTTTATGATGAATAATATAACATTTGATGGTTTAGTAGATTGACTATGCTACTATTCATCTCTACCTCTCTGCGGGTAATTTCTTTTTGGATTTTTCAGATCAAGTTTATTTATTTTCGTGTTTAATATCACATTTTTAAAAAAAGGAAAAATAATTAAAAAAAATACCTGTTAAATTTTAAAATAATAAATAGGTAATTTTGATTGATTATGACTTGTTAAAACCATTACAAAAGTAGTTAACATAATTATTAAGAAAAATATATTAATGAGGTAAGGATTCAAAAGATGTATTAATGAAAGTACTAACCCAACATTAAGGGGGTGTTTGTGTAATTTCATAATCGCTTTTCAGAAGTACTTTTTCACAAATTGAGATAAACTCCTCTACATATTTGTTTCGTATACTGTAAAACCATGGTTTTGTTCTTACCCAAACACCCTCTAAGAAAAATCAATGACAAGTCATAACAATGTTCTTAATCAAATACCAATGAATCAAACTTTGTAAATCCAATCCTTGGATCTAATAGCTAGAAAAATAGAAGGATTAAGATGCAAATTTACTTTTGAATTATTTTGGGATACAATATACCATAAATTTTTCTTGGATACAAAAGTACAGGTTTTCAAAATCACACAAAAATACTACAACCTTGAAGTCAACTAACGTTGACCAGTTAATAAACTTGTCAATCAAAAAAATAGTATAAAAATGCACATGAATTTTTGAAATGGTGTAAAAATACATGATATTTTCAACAATTGTGGTGTTTTTGCCCAATTTTAAAAACTGTATTTTTGTACTGCTTTCTTGACATATATGTTTGTTAAGCAATCAATGTTAGTTGACTTAAAGGCCATGGCATTTTGTACCTTTTTACAAATTTCATATATACTCCTACACTTAAGAAAAATTTATAGTATTAGACGCACATAAAGAAATAATTTATTGATAGATTTGCACCTTAACTGAAAATACAAAGAAGAATCAAAGTTGAAAGACTAGAAAGTTCAGCTCTCTTTTGAAGTTTCAGAACTTAAACCCTATCTTCTCCTCATCCCAAGAGTACGAGAGGTTGGCAAGTCTGTTGTGGATGGAAACTCGTTGGATTCTTGGCCAAGGCAGCAACAATGTTGTTGAGATTAAGATCTTGAAACTCCCTAGTGGTAGAAGAATTTGATGCAGTTGAATTGTTGAGATTACGTCCTTCTAGGATTTAGTGAGTGAGTAATCAAATTGTTGCTTGTGGAACAAGACTTGGAGAATGTCATCTTTTGTTTTAGTTTCGTAGGGTTTCCATAGGCATTTGGACGACTTTGATTGAGGAAAAAGATGAGAGTGGGGGCCAAAAATACTCCAAAAAGGGGAAAGATTGTGCATTAGATTTAGGAGCAAGATAGGAAAGTTTCCTATTTCTATTACGGTGAAGGCTGTGCATTTCTTTTTCTCACTTGATCCGCAACCTCGCTAGGAAATAATTTTAGAAAGTAATTTTCCTACTTCAACAAATGTATACCTGCTAAAAATTAGAAAATAATTTTAAAATAACCAAGGAGTAATATGAAAATATAAGTTTTGAGACTAAATTAAAACGATTTTTCTATAGATTTTTATTGTTTTTATTAGATAATGAATTTTATCTGCAGAATGCTAGGATAGAAAAACCATATAAAATTTCCCGGATAGAGACACTTGAGATCTACAAGTTTGGTATGATGACAATAGAGAAATCTTTAAGATACCTCAGTGAAGTTTAGAGTATCATAAGTAAAATCTGCAGTTAAGAATAAGTGACTTGGATTAATCAAGAAAACTTAAATAGATCAATCTTTATAATACAAAAAATTGATGTATCCAAATAATATAAACCAAGCATGAAAGTCCTCAAGATAAGACATTCAAAAACACAACTCAAATGATCAAGTCTGTTGGGCTGCTCAAATGAGTCGAAGGATAACTTGCCCCAGCCTAAGATTATATCATACTTGGATATGACTTATTTGAGGGATTGCTTTTAACCGTCAAATTTTACTTTTTGAGATTATATCATACTTAAATAACCATCGAATAAAAAGTGCCTCTATAATGACAAGTGTATAAATGACATTTCATAACCATTATTTATAGGATAAACTAACCACCAAATATTCTCTATTTGTAATAATGTATCAACATACCTTGTACAAAATTCTTAGACATGCTCATGATCCAAAAAAAAAATAATAAAGGACAAAATCTGAGACATGATTCCATAAGCATCAATTTTGAGAAAACGAATGTCACAAAAACTAAGGGCTTGTTTGATTCTATTCTCTATTTTTATGTTCTCAAAACAATTATATAAAGTAAATTTTGAGAACAAGTTTTGAAAAGAAAAGATTTGAAAAACATCTAAAATAGTTAAGAATAATTTTCTGTATTTGCATAATTGTTCTTAATGAAAATACAACGTTCTCCACAACTAAAAACGCATTTTCAATTTTTGTTATTTTTTAAAAGCAAAAAAGATGTTCTGAAAATGGAAAATCAAACATGCCCTAATTTTTTACAAGAACCTTGTAGCAAAGAGATGCCTTCATGACATGAGATAGGCAAGGGATTGAGTATAGTAGCTCTTCCGAGCCAGGTTGGTTAATTTTAATCCTAAGTTTTATGAATTTATGATATTATTCAGTCATATATATTATAAATTATATTACCTTTCACATGATGATTCGTCATATCATATGCTTGTATTTCATTACTTTAACAATGATGGCATGCTTGAATTTTTATTGTTGTTCCTAATATTTTGTCCAAAATCTCAACCCATCTTACTAACATGCCAGGTAAAGCTAGTGGGAAGAACCATGGCAAGCAAGTTGTCAATGAGATTTTTATGGAGTTATTTAATTTATTTTTGTTTAGTTCCAGTATCATTATTATTATCATTTGGAATAAGAGATGAAAAAGTAATTCATGGATATCTTATATGATATTGTTGGTTTATCTATTTTGGACCAATACTTTAATTTCAGAGATATTTGATGTTTATATGATTGAAACTCAGATTTCAAAAGTAATGTTTGCTATGTAGGAATTTGCGGCGATGACAATTTTTCACTTCTAATTAAGATTTTTTTTTATAATTATTTTGTTTTCTTAAGACTTTATAGTATATGATTGAGACACTACAGACTTCAAAAGTAATGATCGCTCATGTTATTTGGAAATTTACAGCAATGACAACTTCTTACTTGTAATTAGAAGTTTTTCGGTAGTTTTTTTTGGGAAAATTAGGGAGAAGGACCTAAAAAAATTAGTATTTATTAAGAGGGATCTTAAAAATTGTAATTAATTTGGAAGACCAAAGATTAAAATAAAAGTTTACAATTACCAAATTATCTCTTGTCAAATCCCTATATTATCTCCAACACCTTCCTATCTCAATTTGATGGTTAGTTATCAATTGAACTTGATTTCTTTCTCTCTCTCTCTCTCTCTCTCTCTCTCAGCGTATCTTTTTTTGATGCACACAAAGTTTCTATCAATGGCAATTGTCTTCTTGTAAATCTAGAACAAAGAAAACAAATTAAAAGGAATCAACTATTTATTGGACAGTACATGTATTCTGAGTATTATTTTCCCTCCTTTAATTTGTTTGTATCGAATGTTTTCTTATTTTCTTGTGGCCTCTATCCCAATGTTCAATCCCTGAACTGTAAACATTAGTAATATACTTACACTATTTATATGTATATGTTTTGCACCCAATTTTATTACAATATATTGTATACAAATTTGGATGAATACGAACTAATAGTGATAATAAGATAGGTAGTGTCATAGAATTCAGGCGAATATGATAGATATTTAGTTCATTAATAACATAGGCTCTTGATTGAAGTCAATATTATTGTGCAATATGTGCATAGATATTCTAGTTTGCATTATGATAAGTTATTTGATCTGCTCACGCCATTTTGTGCAATTATATATCCAAGTTCAAATTGAGTTTTGTGGTGATGGAGACAATGTAAAAGACAAGGTTTTGGATCGCTCATAGGATATATGCTTTGCTAAAGTGAACTTTTAACTTTTTAATGTTTTCTTAGTTGCTTGATTTACTTGATATTAACCATGTATCTTTGAAACCTATAACCTTTGAGCATCAGTTTGATGTCATAATATTTGGTTCAACTTTCCTTAATAATGCAATAATATTGTTCAAATTTCCTTATTAAGTTAATGAGGAGTTATAATTACTTAAATTTTAATTCTTTAGCATCCTGGTTCGCTAATATTTGATTAAAAGCATCTAATATAAAGACTTCTTGGATGAATATAAAAGTATATATTTGTACCTTCATTCAATCCCAACTATATATACATATGAACACAATCATGCTACCTATACAAAGCTTCTCATATGAATAAAAATATAGTTCTTGCTATTAATAAAAATATGAAAATCAGGTAAATACTACCGCTTCGTAACTTAAGCTTCACTAATAATTTTTCCAACCACATCAGAATGAAAGGCAAAATCGCAGTCGTGCAAGCCAAAAATTTTTCCAACCATATTGGAATGAAAGGCTAGTAGATGTTGATATAAATGGTTGAAAAATAGGACTTTATTTTTTTTTTGGTTAATTGATGTGTTCAGTTTTTAATTTTAAATGGGAGCAATTTAGTAATTATAAATTTATATTTCAATTGACAACTAACAGTCAAATATTAAGATGGGTGTTGGAGATAATATAAGGATTTGACTAGGGATAATTTCGTAATTGTAAATTCATATTTTAATTTTTGGTACTTCAAATTAATTACAATTTTTAAGATCCCTCTTAATAAATACTAATTTTTTTAGTTCCTTCTCATTAATTTTCCCTTCTTTTTTTTTTACCCTTGAGACGTCATAGTAATTTCAGATATATTTGATGTTTATATGACTCAGACTCAAAGGACTTTAAAAGCAATGCTCTCTCATGTTATTTAGAAATTTACAACAATAACTTTTGAGACTTTTATAGTTATTTTCTTTTCTTGAGACTTCATAGTAACTCTCTCTTCAAATTTACAAGATCAGGATTCTTGTCCCTAAATCATCAATCACATTCCTGAGAATCTTAAGACGTTAAAAGCATCAAAGTTTGTATAACAAGGATTTTTTTCATGTGACAGAAAACGTCTAGAATTTAAAAAGCAGTCCAGGCTTGCCCCATTCCTCGAATCATAGGGTATAACAGCTCTCAAACTAAAAGACGTTACTTTGATTTTAGCCCAAACACCTTCCATAACAGTGTCACATCATTTATATTTTTACGTCTAATTCTATATTTATATTGGTTTATAAGCAAAACGCCTAAGTTGCCTCATTCCCCGTATTTTTTCTTGATATGTGCACTAGTTATTCATATTTATATTTTTAACTATTCATCTCTACTTTCACTAAAGCAAAATGTACTAAAACTTAATTTCAGTTCACTTCTAAAAAGTCTTATAACAGGAAGGGGCGGCAAGGGGTTACCTAAATGCCAACCTCAGCCTTTAATCCATGCCCGCTTCCCGCATCATCAGATTATGGCACCTCGGTCTCACCACTTGCATCTAAAATTTTTAGATGGTGGACAGGCTCAGCAGAAAACTCAGCAAACATCCACTTCAAGGCACGCATATACCAAATATGCAATAGGAACGAAACTACAGTCCCAGTGCCAAAGAGGCATCAAACTTGTAATCACTTCGCATTAGCGTTTGAGGGCAGCAGATGCTATAGCAACATTTGTACCTTTTGGCATAGACATTTTAGGCAGAGGGTTACTCACAATCCAAGAACAAGTCACACATAACCCAATTGCCTGATAACAATTTCCTTTTCGGGTATCGAGAAAATAGAACATAATCATTTGTCCGTCCATATATTTAAGGATAACCCGAAAGGCATCATCATCCATCACCATGATTCAACTTGCAAAGAAACAAAAAACGCTCTACTATAACAATCACCTGGGAAGAAAAATAGAAAGGAAATAATAATGAGGGAAAACCCTCAAAACTATTTTTATAAGTTTTCCTTCATAGTATCCTCTTCCCCCTATTTTGCTCCCTTTTTCACCTCCATCCAAACCAAGCCTCCCTGTCTTCACTGAAGGGTGGCTTCGTAAGTTTTGAATAAGTAAAGTTTTTATTTGGGCCTGAACCCAAGAAAACAGTTAAAGGTAGTTTTTATTTGGGCCTCAACAATATTAGCAGCTTGAGCTTCAGATCAAGTAGCGTGTTCTAAAGGGCGTGTAAAACCATATTTTTAAGCAAAACTGAATATTGGATATATTTAAGAAATTAAACTCAGCAACATGTTTATCCAGCGAGACATACCCCCAAGGTCAGACAGAGTTAAAGAAAGCACAGTAACAATAAAAAAGCTAGAGAGGGAGGATGAAATCATGTGAAGAACAACATAAATTTACATTTTAAGGCATAAACTTTAAATAACCTGCTAATAGAGAGGAAATCCAATTAGCATAGTTCTCCTGATTTAGAAGAAAGCACATGACCCAAAATTGAAACAAGGGGCGAGTTTGTCAGCATGGATAAGCAAAAGCTCACTTGGCACCCAAGGTTGGGAACTGCCCAGGATCTTGAATCAGTGGAGCTTGCACATTGTGGCTCATATTGCCACCATGACCTCTCGAACCACGTCCACGACCCCGACCACGACCACCTGGGTTATAGTACCTTTCTCCTTCAGCAGGCTTCAGAAACTCGTTTATGCTGACAGACTAAGAACAAGAAGCAAGAAATAAAATGAACATGGTAAATTTATTTATAATAAGAGGTTGCCAGGGAGGAAAAAACAATTAAAAAAAACTATGTTACAATGCTAAAAATATTTCATCATAAATCATACAATGGCCACAATTAGAGATCACCACAAGAAAAAGTGATCAGCAGCCCAGCAAAGCACGAGTGACAATGGAACCAAGGTACATAAATTATCAAATCACAACTCATTGATTCACACTACGGGAAGAAACGCAGGGGAACAGCTGAATGTAACAAGGACCTCAGAGAGGAAGCCACATCTAGAAAGTAGCAAATTTAAGTAGCTGCTAAATAAATACAGACACCTTCCAGCATGCTACAACAGTTTAATTAAAAGGTTTCCAAGGACATTAACAAAATTTAAACCATTTGAAAAGAATAGGCAAAACATCTGTGGAAAAAATCAAAATAAACAAACAGAACAAAAATTTAGATAAAATGTCAAAAACCCATCATTTGCAATCTAAAACAACCCCATCTTTTGTGACAAATATTAAGACGAGATGCAGGAGACAGAATTGAGAAAATTTAGTTGATACTTAGAAGGAACTATATAAAATACTATAAAATACACAAATCTTCAGTTTTACTAAAATTACAAGGACTTTTAGATTACACATGCTCCTTCCCCAAAATTAAAAGTTCAATGATGTGTTAGCCCGTTTGAAATACTTTAAAGAAATAATCTACATTGACATAAATACATTATTTAACCTTCATTCGTCCTACTAGCATTAGGAAATATGATTGCCAATGTACACGTTTGTATTACAGCATAAACGTGTGTGGAAAGTGTACTGGAGGAAAGTGTATGTTTTGAAAAAAGGGGAAACAATAAACTCAAGAAAGAATAAGCATAAATCACAAGTGAAGATAAGCAACACATATACAGAATGACATATGCTCATCTTAACAAGTGTCTGATTATTACTAATTACAGAAAAACTACTTCAAGACCAACCACTCGATATTTAACACATTGATTCTTCAAGATCGACAAACAAGTAATTGAGTAAAAATGATCACAAACCAATAAAATATTAAATAAATAATTAAATTAATATATTTTATATAGCTAAATTAAATAATGTATCTTTGGCTAGAATACAATTCTTGTAGTTAAAAATAAAGGCAGGCGCACAGTCTTTGAACGAAGACAACAAAAAGGATCAAATGCAACATGGGTCACACCTTCTTAGATTTCTCTTCCTTCTCGAAAGCCTCTTTGCGCTTGTCTTTTTCAGATCCCTACAAGGGAAAAGAATGTCAGGTGTCAAAAGATACCATAAGGCATATGAATAGCTAGAAATTAGAATGGAAAACGAAGGCCAAAATGATTTCACCAATTTAATGAAGACGTCATCATTGTCTTTCTTGCTTGACAGCTGCTGCATGGATTCAAAATCTTTAGTGTCAACTTTTCTCTCCTCAGTCTTCAGTGCTTGCAAGGCCTTCCTTTTTTCTTCCAGAACTTTCTCATATTCCTCCAAAGTCATCTCCTACCAAAAAAAAACAAATTATTTATATATTGCTCATAAGGTGTTTATAAATTTATAAAGTAAATAGTATGCATGATTGATTACAAAAGCCCAAAATGGTAGCAAAATGCTTACTAACATAAGAACACAGGTCAAGGCGTAACCCAATATTGGAAAAAAAATGCACTTTTGTGACAAGGGAATATAAAGTGAGAGTTTCTTATTAACATGAACGAGAATACAGGTTCGCATTATTCATAGACACTACAGCACATAGGCAAAAGCCCCTCCCACCATCTCCCAAAAAATCAAAACAGAAAAGGTAAATCAGCCTAAAACATTCCATGAAATAGGACACTCACCTTATCCTCAGGCTCTTTTTCTTCATCTCCATTAGCAGGACTCTCCTTGTTATCATCTCCTACATTTTCCTCAGCCGGCTTCTCATCACTCAAATTCTTTTCACTGTCATTCACAACTTCCTCAGTTGCCCTATTAAGATGACATTCAGCAAAGAAATGTAACAAGCATCAATGAAAACCATAAAAATTGAAAACAGAATATTTTAATTTGTCTGCCTACAGCATAGAATTGGAAATAGGTGCAGGAAACTAAGGGATTGTAAACTGGAATGCTTACTGCACAAGTTCATCATCTGGTGTTCCCCAGTTACCACGCCCAGCACCTTCACGCTTGAATTCATTTCTGCAATTATAAAGGGTCAAATCAGTGTTGGCAGCAACAGAAATTTAAGAAATAAAAAGTAAGGGAAAATGTGAACCCTCGTCCAGTGCCACTGCGGCGATCAAAAGCCCTCCGTGGGCGTCCCTCTTCGCCACCTTCTCCATTGCTAAATCCACCACGACGTCCGCCACGGAAAGATCCACGAGGTCCACCATAACCATGTCTTTCTACAGGCTTCCCAGTTTCTCCATCTACAAGAGCACCTTGACCAGCAAGGCCTCCACTGCCACTGAATGAGTTCTCATCATTAGAAAAATCACGATTAAAACCCCTTCCTCCACGACCACGTCCATATCCACTGCCGCCTCCTCGTACACCTCCACGGCCTCCACGAGGAGTTTCATTCCTTGCCTCCCTCACTAGTAAACCATGTTAAAAATGTCAACAATGTAAAAAATTATGCAAGAGAATCATCAATAGAATGAGCGTTAATTCAAGTTAAAAGATATACAAGGCATAAAAGCTTTTATTAATAAAGAGCAAATTGACCTTTGGAGCAGCCAAATGATATATGATTAGAGTGATGTGTTCAACACCGTCACAAACAAAAACAAGAGTTTATGGTAAATACCACCTTCTTAATCCATAAGAGGCTAAAACAATCAGTATTAAAGAAAATAAAGATCATTCTAGAGATAAAGTTATACATGAATACAAGTGTCCAGAGACATAATCAATATTCACCCACTGTTACATAAATAATTTACAGAATCGCAATGCTGACTTAGAACGTAAAAAAATAGCACAGAAGGGTCAGGACCAAAATCCAAAAGACCACATTTTCAAAAGGTCTAACAGCTAGATTCCATTTGCATAATTTCAGAACGCCTAAACTCAAAACCATCCAGTTCTCCATACCAACAGATACCAACTAAACAGGACGCGCTCCACCAAATAGAAGTTCATCAGAAGCTCACCAGCCTGAGATGGTGGGGGAGGCTTTGTAGGCAATTGAGCAGGCTTGTTCTGCTGAGCCAGAGCACGAACTCCCGGCTTGCCATGGTCCTGCCCAGGAGCTTTCTTGGGTGCAGATACAACCTTCTGCTCCTCAGCAGCTATTAGCTGCAACGGGTCCTCAGCGTCATCGCCCAACAAATCAAAAGGGTTCAAGGTCGCCATTACAGAATACAATAATACACAAATGAACCCACTTCTCAACAGAGTTATACCAAAGAGAAAGCGACCACTAAACGCTATAAAAGTAAAAATTCCATGGAATGCCACATAGATTCAGGGATGAACCAGAACGAAACGAAAGAAAGAAGGGAAAAACCCTAGCCGCAAGGGGAGTGAAGGGTGTGCAAGAGTGAAAAGCGACCGAAGCCTCATCTCAACTGAGAGAATTTATTTGTAAGTGGGCGGAGTCTCTGGGCCGCATTAGCCCTGGCTTATTGAGAAAATTATTATTATTTTTTGGTTTAATCCCTTAATTTTAAAATATATGTATTTTTAGCTCTTTTAATTTTAAAATTATTAATTTTAAATTATATTTTTATAGTTGTTTTTAAAATTACACTTAATATGTTAACATTTAATGTTAGTTTATCAAAATTTAAGATTTTAATATCATTATTTTTAATAATATTTTTTGAATTAAAAAACTAAAAATATACTTTTTAAATTTAAAAGATCACAATGAAATTTTATATAAAATTAAATGACCAAAAATATACTTTATTTTTAATTTAAAAATCAAAATATTGGTCCTTGTTGTTTTTGTGTGTGTGTATAAAACTTCAAAAGTTGGCACGTATTCGTTTTTTGGCCAAAAAGGTTCGTCCCCTGGATGTGAGAACAAAAATTATACCAACCACTATTGAAGTTAATCCTTATGTGTAACTAATATTCAAATCTTATATTTTTATATTTAATGTCTGACAATATCTCGAATAAGATTGTTTTTAATAAAATAAATAAATAAAAATTATTTCTTATTAGGAGGCATTATCTGGTATCCCGTGTCTTTTTTTGTTTTTTTTTTAACCAGCTATCTGATACCCCACATCTAGAGCTAATAACAAGAGTTTTTTTTTTTTTTTTACACAGTTAAGAACATGAGCTCAGCTCACAAGTCAGCTCATCAACTCATCAAAAATTGTGGGTTCAAGTTTGCTGGAATATAGGCCCGCTTTTATGTGCGAATGTTTGGCCCGTACTCGCGTGGCCTGAAACCATGATGGGTCACCTTTTTTTTTTGAAAAAAGAGTTACCTATTTTCCCTTTGCACAATGCACATGAAAATATAATGAAATATTTTGCTTCTCAAAACTAAATCATTGAAATATATTATTGATAACCACAAATATCAAACATTTAAATTTTTAAAAACATTAGAAAAAAAACATCTCATTCAAACATGATTTTTTAAATGAAATTTTAAGTTTAATAACTCACTAATTACAAACTGAAATATTTATATACATCAATTTACTGACTAAAATTTAAATTTCAAAGCTCATTTATTCTGTCCTTATTTCTTATCAATTTAAAAATAGAATATTTGATGGATTATGAATTATTGCGCTAGGTTGTTAGTTTAAGTATCAAACTTGATTATTTTAAAGATTATTTAATGATTTATGATTGTTGATTGTGTCAATCATTTCATTTGGAAATCATGTTTGAATTAAAATATTTTATGTTTTGGAGAATTTGAATATTTGATGTTTGTAATTATTAAAATGTATTTAAGCGTTTGGGCTTATCAAGAACAAGATTTCATTATAATTTCAGGAATATTGTATAACAAAAAATAGGGGGAACAGAAAAATAGAAATATATATATTAAAAAAAAGTGGGAGGCTTGGGTTGACTAAATGTCAGCCCATGTAAAGCCTGAGGCTCACAACTTACATATAATTTATTTTCTATGTTAAAAGAATATCTTAGATTAAATAATATAATCATGCTTTTATCTTTTCAATTGAAGTACATTTTCTCTATTTTTTTTGCCAACATTAATTATATTTATTTGGAGAGTATTAACATGGCATGGTGCTCCATGAATGCGTAACACTTTTTGGGAAGTGGTGATTCACAATTCAAACTCTTTTTTCACAAATAAAAAATTGAATTACAAAAACAAAAACCTACAAAAATACGAAAAGAAAAGGAGCCAATGGCTCATCAAAGCAATTAACATTGCATAATTCTCAAGGGTCTATTTAGTATGTTGGAATCAGGAGTATGGAAATGGAATTAGAATTGAAATTTTGAAAAATGTTTATTTGGTAGTATGAACATGCCAAATTATCCAATTTTATTTTCACCGAAAATAAGGAGAACGGGATTCCATATCATATGTTATGGACTCCAAAGTTTGGGAATCCAACTACTCATGCACGCTAATTTTTATCAAAATTAGTTTTTCACAAAAACCATAGTTTAAAAAAAACCCAAAAATTATGTACGAAATCACTTTTGAATTGAAAATCATGGTTTGAGATTAAAACCATAATTTTTCATAAAGTGATTTTTTTTTTGCTTTTGAAGGTATAAAACCATGGTTTGGTATATAAAAATAAATAAATATGAGACAAAGTTGATCAGGATCTTATGTTGGTAATCAAATTGAATATCAAATTAACTCTTATATTAAAAACTGGAGGTAATATTAATTAATTATATTTTTTATATACAATTTATTATTTCAAACAAAAATATAAATTAAAATATATTTTTATATAATTATTATATTAACTTATGCCATTTTAGTAATTTGCATATGAAAAAAATGATTGTAATAACAACCATCCACATATTCTCACTTTATTAAGATTTTTTTCACAGAAAATCTATTTTCAAAAGCCATTCTTTTAAAATTTATTCACAAAACTTATTCTTTCAAAATCTATTTTTTAAAAGTTATTCTTAAAATCTATCTTCTATTTCATCAAAGAAAAATTCAATCTATCTTCTCGATCTCCTCTTTCCCATTATGCCCCTTCTTCCATCTAACCATTTTTCATTCTAACAAGGACCAATCTAGATGGTGGCAAAACCTGTTCGATATTAGCGATACTTTTTTTTTTTGTGTGGATAAAATAGAGACACTTTATAATCATTTTTGGATTCTAGAAACCTTTAGACAATCAAAAAAATCCAAAATCTACAAATTGATACTTGAGCTATTATTCATTTGATAATTCTTCAATCTCTAGAATGTTGGAAATTCGTAGTTAAAACTAAAAAAATTGAAACGGTCTCTATTTAACGTTCTATACAATCTCTACACTTGGAAAATATAACTCATCTCAATCACTTTTCCAATTTTCTAGGAAATAATATGTCAAAAAATATACTATTAATTTTATTAAAAATATAATTTCAGATTTTTGAAACAAACTAAAAAAATGGAAAATCATATCTTCTAATATAGATATCCAAACTACATGCTCTATGACTCATTTTAAACTTTAGGATGTCTTCTAAATATTTACCAAATCTCATGGTTAAATTTGTTCATTTTCTTTGTCTCATCTTAGCCAAAATTTTGATGCTCAGGAAAGAAATACTAACTCATTGCTAGCATACATATAAGCTTACACAACATGCATGTAGGAACTTCATGAGCTTTTAAACATATTATGCAAGCTTAACATGAACTTTATATACATAGTTTTTTTTTTTTTGCCAACTTATATAGGCAGCTTTATACAACTTGTATAACTTGGGAGAATTGACAAATTGACAAAATATATAAAACATGTAACATATAACTCTTCTCTCCACTTCCTTCCTTTTGCCTTTGAAGGAGCTTGTGCCTATGCATAACAAGAGTCCAAAGAAATCACAATAGCCAAAAAACAAAAACAAAAAACCCAACTCAAACATCAAAATTTCAATGTGATAAACTAAAAGCATGTTAATACCATAAAATAGAATAAATGTAACATCCTAATTTTTATTTCTAGTATTTAATTATTATTAAGATGAAATTATTTAAATAATGTGGGTTTAGAGTAGATCAAGTACAAATTTGAGAAAATAATGGAATACGATTAAAAATTGAAGGAGAAAATCCTAATCAATATAAATTTGGTCTAATTATATTAAGGCATCCATTATTATTTTACGAAGTACAAAATTGGAGATATTATATATTTATTAATATTGAGAAGAATAGAATGAGCTTATTTTATGATAATTAGAAATTATGGTCCTTAATATAGGACCCAATTCTTGAGTTGGTTTTGATCCTAAATATAAGACTCATTTATCATATTTATCAATTTTCTCTAAATTACCCCTATGAATACTCCCTCAACTATAATCAAGTAGAAGAGGGAGAGGTGGTATTAAGAAAGATGATTATGGTGTTTTAGGAAAAATATGTCACTTTCCTTATAATTAACTAACTTACCTAACTTCCTTAATCTAATCAAATTAGTTAAATGGGTCTTATATTAAGGACTGGAGGAGTACTATATAATTATTTGAGTAGAGAGAATTTATCCAGAATGGTTAAATTTTAAGGATAAAATCCCAAATTAACCTTTTAGAAAAAAGAGAGGGAAAACCTAATAAGGCTTGATGGAATTAAATAAAAGTAATTAAAATGTTTCCCACCTAAGACATTCTAATTATAATTATCTATATATTATTCAAATTTTACTTGAGTAAAATACAAATATAGCCTAATTGTTGTGACTTTTGGAGAATCTTAGTTAATAGTGGTTAATTAAGAAAGATGTTTTAGAGATTTCTAAATGCTAAAACATGAGCGTTACATTAATAAAATTTTCTATAGTATAAATTAAAAAGAAAGAATAACAAAAAAAAAGAAAATAATATATATATATATATATATATAAAAGTGGGCTCATGCCCTTTTATATAACACATGTAAAGAAATTTACACCCTATTTGTCTTCTTCTCCTTCTTCTGTTTCTTTCACCAAGGAAAGAGATTGAGTCCTCCATTAATAGATGTTTAAAATATTATGTAAACCATTAATATTAAGAAAAGGTTAAAGGCGTGATTAAAAATTCAATAAGCTATATTTGTTAGTTAAAGGCATGCTAATCTTAAACCCTATGTAGTTAGCCTCTTAAGTCGTCAACTTTATTATTTTACATATATGTGGCTCTATCTATATAAATAAGGAAGACACTAATAATAGTAGCTAATAGTTTTTCTTAATGAATTATTTAATTTCCAGCTTTGTCCTATCTCAAATTCCTTCTTTCCTCTAGTTTTCATCTTTCTTCACCTTTTATACAATACCACAACAGTGATATCAGAGCTAATGGTCACTTAGGGTATATGCCTAAAACAAGATTTTCAGACAGCCTTTGAAGATGCATTGAAAGAAT